AATGCATTTCATTATGGTAATTTTATTAGTTTCTTTCCTAATTCCGGGTACAAATAAGTACCAAAGAACAAAAATCTAAATGATAAATAATAATAAAAACAAATTTTTTACAACAAGCTCGAGAGTCATGACATGCTATCTTTAACTATGTGATTGATGTGATTAAGGATCACGATAGTGATGATAAGATTATGTATGTTCTTGCTACTCTGATATTTCTCCTAGTTTGATAAGAATTATACCTATATATAAATGCGATATTTGAAAATTAAAATTAAGATTAAAATATCTAAAATTAGTAGATTACTTTGTTCATGACTTGTCCCACAGAAAAAACAAAATAACCCTTTTTTTTTTCTTATTAATCCCCTGTTTATTTTATTCTTTCTAATTTGGTAGGAAATTTTATAAATTATTATACAAGTGTATGAAGAACAAAAAAGAGAAGTAAAGAGAAAAAAAAGAAAAATAACATAGCATAAAGTTATTATCCAATTTTATTGTTTGTATTTGGTTTTGTTAGAGCTGCAAAGTTTTCCTCGCATGGTCTTAGTTTTCATGCATGATTATGATAATATTATGGATATTTGGCAATCATCTTCATTAAGCTAAACACATGTATGTCGACGTCGGCCTATCCACTGAAAGACAATTGAAACAAATTGTTTCTTTCAATTCCTCCTTTAAAGTTAAATTGTCATCAACTAGTTAAGTTGTTGTATGTTATGGACCAAATTGTTCCTGAATTAAACGGATCTGTTGTGATAGATTATCATGACCGTGTTGTTGTGATAAATTGTCAAAGGTACCGTGGAAGCCGTGCCTTTTCAGTATTTCATGGTGATAATCATCTTGATTTTTCCTTCACTGTTCTTGATAGAACAATGTATACTATAAGAGGGGGGGTGAATTGTAGTGTATGTAGACTATGGTAAATTTTGCGGAATTAAATCTACTACTAAGAGAAAAGACACTGAGATAGGCAATGAATAAATTCACTATGTAAAAATGATTTACAATCACTAATACGTTGCCTAGACTCAAGTTCCGTGGGGAACTCAAGTTATCCAACTGTGATCCCTCAATCACAGTTTCTCACACTTTGTGATTCTACTCCGAATCACTTGTACAGTGTAAAGAACTCTCTCAAGTCTCACACTTTACAACTCTCACAACCCAATCCCAATTACACAATGATTACAAATATTTCCTAAGGAACTTAAGAGACTAAGGATGGAAGGAACTTCTCGTTTTAAACACTTTGAAACTCTACGCTCAGAATACTTAAATTGTTTTTCCACACTTTCAAAAAGCCACGTTGATCTATTTTTATAGGGAGATTATCCAAGCTTCTATCATGTTCCTACTTCCCCCTCAATCCCACGTTCACCTATATTGGGAAGTTGGGATGTAAGTGGAGGAAGTTGAGAAACATGATTTCACTAACTTGACTCCCAAGTCCAACGTGCATCCTGTTTTTAAGCAAACAGAATTTTACCAAGTCAAAATCAGTTTAAAAGAATATTTATTAAAAAGATAAATATTTATTTATTAAAAAGATATTTAAACAATTAATTAATTTAAAATAAATTTATCTTTTAAATTAAAGAATTATTTAGATTTTATTTATTTATAAAATAAATCTTTTCAACTGATTTTATCCCAATATTTTCAAACTGATTTTATCTCTTCCTTAAATTAAGGATTTTGAAAACTGTTAAAAACTTTTCTGAGTCATTCGTCAAGTTCCTTCAGGAACTTCAGGTTCCTTCAGAAACTTCGAGTTTCTTCTTAGTTCCTTCCAACACTTTTGTTTCTTAAGTTCGTACACTGAGTAACTAAGTATATAGAGTCGTGAGGACATGTTGAAAGCTTGCATTCATCATCAAGTCTTCCAAACTTTGTTGTTCCTACTCCGGAACATATTACTTCAAACCTGAATCTTCTGCTTAACCAAGACTCTTTAAACATCATTAGTCGGAGTTTGTTTTACGTAAGTCAATCATCAAAATATAAGGTAGTCAATTCAACAATATTCCCCCTTTTTTGATGATGACAAACAAAAACAAACTCGGTTAAAACAAAATAATCATCCAGGCAAATGTCGTAACCATTAACTGAATAAACTAATTATATAAACAAAACAGTAAAATAAACTAAGTATTAAGAAGTCTGCATCATTCATGAAATTAATAAATTATGAAATTTATACCTTTGCTTAAACGATGAAGACTTGAAGAGGAATCGGTTTGAGTCCAGCTTTCTGAGTTTGTTCTTCTCTTCCCCCTTTTGACATTATCAAAATGATAGAAAGAGCATGCTATATATAGTACTAAACTACGGAGGGAGTAGTAAATCTGAATTCATGAACGATTAAGCATGCGCACACAGTTCATATGCAACCAAAATGAGAATATCTCATTCAAAAACAAATCAAGCCAGTTGATTTCAAACCGAACCAAAACGAAATGTATAAAACAAACCAAAAAAGATCCAAAATAAACAAAAGAACATTGTTCAAAAATCACAAGAGATAGTAGGGTAGGTATGGTTGGCAAATATTAGGAAATGGTAGTAGCTTCATGGTAAGGGAACATCTTTGATTGCATTGAGAATGGTCTTGTAACACTGTTCCTTCACCGTAGCTTTGACTTCCTGGGTTGAGGAGTCCATATGAGTGTTTATTTTATCTTCCAGAGAAATCATCTGAGTTTGCAACCCCTCAACTTTAGTAGCCAAGTTATCCAGTGTGGAAGAAAGATGAGTTATACTCTGTGTAAGTGTAGTGGACAAAAGATTAAGTTCCTCCTGGATTTGCAAGGAACTTGGACCAGAGCTTAAAGCACTGAATCCGAAACCAGAAGTACAAGGCTGGGAAGCATGTCGAGATGGTATGGTGTGGTGAGCAGGGGATGGAACTGGAGGTGGTGATGGAGTTCCTTCTGGAACGGATGAGGAGGGACCCTGAGGAACTTGGGTGGAAGTTCCTTCAGAAACTTTGGTTGAATCATCATCCAAATCAACAATAACTAGCTCAGATTGCAGGGGTTTGGGTTTGGATGTAGCAAGTCTGATACTTCTCCTTCGTCTGCCTGGTACAGGGGTGTGTTTGACAGAGCCCCCAACTTCCTGAAGTAACTCTTGCAGTAATTCCTCTTGATCATCCTCTTCCTCCTTCTCATTCTCTTGATCAACCTCTTCCTCCTTCTCATTCTCTTGATCAGCCTCTTCCTCCTTCTCATTCTCTTGATCATCCTCTTCCTCCTTCTCATTCTCACTCTCTACTGCCCCAACATTCTTATCTACTTCGACCTCTTTGTCACTATCTTTCTCTGTTTCTTTCTCATCAATTGTATTTTGCTCACGGTCTTCTTCTTTCTTTTCTACTTCCCCCTCACTGTGTTCCCCCGCAGAATCACTTTGCACATCAGATGCAAAACAAACATTCCCATTCACCACTTTTAATTTCAGCTTTAACAATGATTTTTCTTGAAGGATGTGTTCAGGTTTGAGAGTGTATGTCTCGATTTGTGGCAAAGGAACTTTCAAATCTTGAAACACCACTGTCAATAGGGAACCATAGGGTATGTGTAGGTCGGGAATGCAGTGGTCTAGGTGGGTTATCATTAAGGCAGGAAAATTAATGCTAACTTTCTTTGCTAGACAGAAGATGAGGGATGCATCTAACAGGGTTACAGTACTGCGTTTTTGCGAACGAGGAAGAATTCCTCTCCAAATGATGTTGAACAATAGTTTATGCAAAGGAGTTAAGGCATTGTGGTTAGTTGTAGTAACTTTCGGGTTTCCACCAATAAATGTGACAATTTCGGTTTCATTGTGGCCATCAACGGTGTTTTTGGATTTGTTTTTGACATAGGTTCTATATCCAATATTTGGGGTTTTAAACAACTTGGCCAAATAACCTGCATCAAACTCAATATTCACATCACCAACCGTAGCACTACATACGCCATCAACGCAAACAAAAGAGGAGCAAAATTCATCCATTAATGTAGGATAAATTGGAAACTTTGAACACACATCCAACAAATATATCCAATTTTGATAATCCAACAACTCTAAAATTTCGGAAAACTTACAATCCGTGCACCATGAGTGATCAATTGCATACCCAAGTAAGAATTTGTCGTTTTGGGTTTGCCGGGCTTTCTTCGATGGTGCGAGGTGCGACGGGCCTTAGTGTTTTCTGGTTTTTCCTTGGGTTGTGTAGCCTTGCGTTTTGGAGCTTGAGAGGAGGAAGGGATTATCATAGTTGGAGGGACGGGTTTTGATGGGGTGTTCCGTCCGGATCGTCGTTCTAAGGGGTTGGATGTGATGTTGGTTTTCATTGTTGGGTGAATTTTGAGAAAGTAGGAGAAGTGGGAGAAGTGTATAAATTGAGGTTGGTGGGAACTTGAAGGTGAGGATGGGTTTATGGGGAGTGACGGGTGATGAGAGATGATGATGTGAATATTGAAGAGGGGTAATGGGGAAAGTTGATAGGTTTGTGAGAAGTGACGGTTCAAGGGGTGTGGTGAAGTGACGGATTAGGGGAAGTTAATGTGGGAGTGAATGTGGGAAAGTGTGTTAGTGGGGAGGTTGAAAGGTTGTGTGATTTATTTACAATAAAAAGAAAAATAAGGAAAAAAAATAAGATAAAATTTAATTGAGAAAATAAAAAATCTTTTTGTTGTTTTGGAATTTATAAGATGAAATTAGTAAAAGGATAAAATTAAAAATTTAAAGATAAATAAAAATTCCAGTAAGTTACTTCAAAGTAAAATACTAGTTGACCTGTACAAAGCTTTTCAAAAAAAAACTTGGAAAATAATATGGCTTAATTTGTCTTCTTTATTGACATAATCACATGATCACACACTCATTAGAATTACACACTCTTTCATTGCAAGATTCGAGATTGTGTTTTTCACACCAAGGTTATATATAGCAATGCTCAGTCGTTTCACTAAGACATACCTTGGGGTTCCAAGAAGAACTGCTCAATTCAGCTTTATCATTCCGAGTTCCAATTGCATCTTTTCGATTTTTTCTCTACTCAAAGGCTTTGTTAGAATGTCAGGAATTCGATATTCAGTTTGTAAAAATTCTAATTTAATAGAGCCTTTTTCCACATTGTCTTTTAGAAAGTGATGCCTAATATGAATATGCTTTACACGTGAATGATGTACTGGATCTTTTGAGATGCATATAGCACTAGTATTATCACAGTATATAGGAGCACATTCTAAAATTATGCCAAAATCACGCAACTGTTGCTTTATCCATATTAATTGGGAGCAACATGCAGCAGCAGCTGCATATTCTGCTTCAGGAGTGGATAGAGCAACAGTGTTTTGTTTCTTGGAACTCCAAGAAACTGGACAAGAGCCTAAGAATTGAACCATACCTGACGTGCTCTTGCGATTTACTAAGTCTCCGGCATAATCTGCATCAGCAAATCCTTTGAGATCGAATGTATCCTTAGTGGGTAGAATAAACTTAAGTCAGTCGTTCCTTTAAGGTATCTCAGTATTCTTTTCACGGCAGTTAGATGCGACTCTTTTGGATTGGATTGGAACCTAGCACAGAGACCAACACTAAAAGAAATATCAGGTCTACTTGCAGTTAAGTATAGTAAGGAACCAATCAAACCTCTGTACATTGTCTGGTCCACACAAGTTCCTGAGGGATCTTCGTCTAATCTAGAGTTAGTTCCCATAGGAGTGTGGTTAGTCTTTGCGTTGTCAAGGTTATACTTTTTCAGGAGTTCCTTGACATATTTTTGCTGATGTATATAAATTCCTGATTCAGTTTGTTTGATCTGCAGTCCTAAAAAGAAATTGAGTTCCCCCATCATGCTCATTTGGAACTCACTGCACATCAAGTCAGCAAAGTACTTGCACAAAGATTCGTTAGTTGCACCAAATATAATATCATCAACATAGATCTGTACAACTAAAAGATGAGTTCCTTTAGATTTTAAAAACAAAGTTTTATCAATTTTTCCTCGTTTAAAATCATTTTCCAAAAGGAACTTAGACAATCTTTCATACCATGCTCTTGGAGCCTGTTTTAGTCCGTAGAGAGCCTTATCAAGTTTAAAAACATGGTTTAGAAAGTTTGGATTCTCGAATCTAGGGGGTTGATTGACGTAAACTGTTTCTTTTAATAAACCATTCAAAAACGCACACTTTACGTCCATCTGATACAGTTTAAAACCCATAAAAGCAGCAAAAGATATTAAAATTCTAATAGCCTCAAGTCTAGCAACAGGAGCAAATGTTTCCTCAAAATCAATACCTTCCTGTTGGTTATATCCCTTTACAACCATCCTAGCCTTATTTCTCACAATTGTACCATATTCATCAAGTTTGTTTCGAAAGACCCATTTTAAACCTATGACCTTTTTATCTAGTGGCTTAGGTTCAAGATGTCATACCTGATTTCTTTCGAATTCATTGAGTTCCTCTTGCATGGCTATAATCCAGTCAGGGTCTTCTAAGGCTTCTTTATGGTTGCAAGGTTCCAAAGTAGATAGAAAAGCATTGAAGGCACAGAAGTTCCTCATTTGCGATCTAGTCTGAGTTCCTTTGCATAAGTCACTGATAATTTTGTCCATTGGGTGTGACTTTTGGTGCTTCCAAGGTTTGGGCTGGAAGGTTTGGATAGTAACTCGACTATTCTGATTTCCTGACCCAGTTGCTTCTTCTTCAGTGATTTCCTCTTGCGTTATTGGTTCCTTGGCAGGTTCTTCATTCTGAGGCTGTTCTATCGAAGGAACTTCAGTCAGTATGTCGAGTTCCTTCTCTGGATTTTCATGATTTTCATTTAATCAAGTTGGCTGCTTATTTGGAATTACTGCATCTTCTTCTTGTTCTTGAGAGCGTACTAGACCAATTTCAAAGTCATAGTCCTCATGTTCCTGTGTACATGGAAGTGGATTAGTTTCATCAAATATAACATGCACACTTTCCTCTACACACATAGTACGTTTATTGTAAACTCTATATGCTTTACTGTTAGTAGCATATCCAAGAAATACGGCTTCATCACTTCTTTCATCGAATTTCCCTATGTTCCTTTTACCATTATTATGCACAAAACATTTACAACCAAATGCTCTCAGATGAGATATGTTCGGTTTTCTGCCTTTCATAAGTTCATAGGGTGTCTTATTTAATATAGGCTTTAGCATGACACGATTTATAATATAACAGGCTGTATTCACGGCTTCTGCCCAGAAGTTCCTTGGAAGATCGCTGGCTATTAACATGGTTCGAGCCATGTCTTCTAAGGTTCTGTTCTTCCTTTCCACAACTCCATTTTGCTGTGGAGTTCTTGGAGCTGAGAAATTATGACTTAAGCCTTGTTCCCTGCATAAATCATCAAATTTAAAATTCTCAAATTCAGTGCCATGATCGGATCTAACGTGTATCAGTTGATGACCGGTGGACTTTTGAATTCTCCTGAAAAATGTAACAAACTCATCAAAAGTCTCATCTTTGCTAGACATAAAAATTACCCATGTGAATCTAGAATAATCATCAACAATTACTAAGACATACTTCTTTCCACTTCTACTTTGAATCCTCATAGGACCACACAAATCCATATGAATTAATTCTAAAGGTTTCGTGGAACTCACCATTTTCTTGGATTTAAAGGATGATCTGACCTGTTTTCCTTTCACACAAGCATCACAAATTTTGTCACATAGGAACTTGATTGAAGGAAGTCCCTCTACCAAGTTCCTTGTTCTTAATTTATCAATCAAAGAAAAACTTGCATGACCAAAACGTTTATGCCACAGTAAAGGATCATCCTCAATGACACTGAGGCAAGTTAAGTTGTTCCTCGGAACTGTATTGAGATCCACAGTATAAGTGTTTCCTTTCCGAGTTCTTTCCAGCAAAACTTTCCCAGTGTCATTCTGAATGATGCTACATTTTTCAGAATCAAAACTTACAGAGTTTCCTTTATCACAAAATTGTGATATGCTTAATAAGCTGTGTTTGAGGCCCTCGACTAAAAAAACGTTATCAATAGCTTGGGAACTTGACCTTCCAACTTTTCCTACGGCAACAATGCTGCCTTTCTTATTATCACCAAAGGTCACAGTTCCTCCTGTATAGGCCGTCAGTGAGAGAAATCTTGATTCATCTCCTGTCATGTGCTTGGAACAACCACTATCGAGGTACCATTGGTTGTTCCCCCTCACTACGACCTGCAAAAGAAACTAAGGGTTAGATTTAGGAACCCCATCTTTCATGGGTTCCTTCGTTGATACAACAGACTCATTTTTCTTTTGCCATACATAAGCTATATTTTTAGTGGACTTAAGTTCCTTTCTTTTGCATTCAGTATCTTTGTGTCCTGACTTGCCACAGAAGGAACACACAGTCTCACTAGGAAGTTCCACATAGTTTTTCTTTTTACCACTACTCTTCTTTTTGTGGTTGAAACCCAAACCTTCTGTCCTTCTGGTTTGAGCTTCAAGTATCCACTTTGGAACTCCCATGTGGATTACACTCTCATTGTTTCTTGCTCTCTCTAGTTCCTTCTCAAAGAACTCATTTTTGTCTTTAGTAACCTGCAATTCTTTTTTCAAATTTTTAAGATCATCATTAAAGGTTACTAAAGGCAATTGAAGAGCACTATTAGAATCAATGTTAGTGCATAGCAATTTATATTGAGTCAATTCAACTTTTAACATGATATTTTCATTTTTGACTCTTTCTAGTGTTTCTTTAAGCATAGTGTTTCTATCTAGCAAATCAAAGAATATTCCCTGAACATCTGTTCTTGAACTATTCAAATATTTCATATGATCCTTATAGATTTCTAGAACTTTTTCATTTTGTCCAAATTTAAGACATATTTCTTTATATTCATCCAATGTTTCTATGAGTAAAGAAATTAATTTGTCTTTTGATAGGGATTTCAGAAATTTAGGTTCGAGATTTACCTCCTTTGACTTTTTAGCAGATTCACTGTGTTTAGCCAGCAAACACAGGTTTGCAGTCTCTTCTTCCGTGGGTTCTTCATCATCCTCGGAACTTGTGTCTCCCCACGCAGCTATCATGGCTTTTCTGTAATCAGATTTTGAAAAGTTAGGAGTATGAGATTTTCCGTGTTCCTTCATTTTGCCTTTTCCTTTTTCTGATTCCCAGAGAGGGCATTCCTTGATGAAGTGATCTGTGTTCCCACATTTGTGGCATCCTCTTGTTTCGTTGGAATACTGGTTCTTCATGAAGTTCCTTTTCTTTTGGTCACCAAACCTTTTGTTGCGGTACAGCTTTTTTAACTTCCTGACTAGCATAGCCGCTTCTTCCTCTCCAGATTCGGAATCCTCTTCACTTGGTTGGGCAACTTTTAAAGCAATTCCTCGGCTTTTTGAGCTTTCTTGACTTTTGTTTGATAGGTGAAGCTCATGAGTTATCAAGGAACCTGCAAGTTGTTCAAGGTTAAAAGTTGTAAAGTCCTTTGATTCCTGCAAAGCAGCCACTTTGGATCTCCACCGTTCATCTTCAGGAAGACTTCTTAGAATTTTGCGTACCTGTTCATCCATAGGAACAACTCTACCAAGAGAAACTAATTCATTAGTAATATTTTTAAAACGAGTAAACATTTCTTGAATAGTTTCTTTTGAACCCATTTCAAAACGTTCATATTTAGAAAGCAGTATATCAATTTTAGAACGTTTGACTTCATGATTTCCTTCGTGGGTTATTTCTAGTAAATCCCATATTTCTTTTGCTGTTTTACATCCCATAACACGAGTGTGTTCATCTGGCCCTAAACCCCAAACTAGGAGTTTTTTAGCAGTAGCATTAATTTCTTTCTTCTCAAAGTCGTTTCTATCATATTCAGAGATAGGTTTAGGAATTACCTCATTTTCTGCATTGGTCTTGGTTACCTCGTAATCTCCTACTTCGATATCTCGCCAGACTTGATAATTCTCGGACTGTATGAACATCTCCATCCTTGTCTTCCAATAGGCATAGTACTTCCCATTAAAGAGTGGTGGTCTTTGTGTAAAGTAACCTTCAGCTAGTCTCTCGTCCTTTGACATTGTTCCTCCAGGAACTTGACTCGACAGGGCTTCCTGCTTTTCCGAGTTCCTTGCTCTGATACCAATTGATAGAACAATGTATACTACAAGAGGGGGGGTGAATTGTAGTGTATGTAGACTATGGTAAATTTTGCGGAATTAAATCTACTACTAAGAGAAAAGACACTGAGATAGGCAATGAATAAATTCACTATGTAAAAATGATTTACAATCACTAATACGTTGCCTAGACTCAAGTTCCGTGGGGAACTCAAGTTATCCAACTGTGATCCCTCAATCACAGTTTCTCACACTTTGTGATTCTACTCCGAATCACTTGTACAGTGTAAAGAACTCTCTCAAGTCTCACACTTTACAACTCTCACGACCCAATCCGAATTACACAATGATTACAAATATTTCCTAAGGAACTTAAGAGACTAAGGATGGAAGGAACTTCTCGTTTTAAACACTTTGAAACTCTACGCTCAGAATACTTAAATTGTTTTTCCACACTTTCAAAAAGCCACGTTGATCTATTTTTATAGGGAGATTATCCAAGCTTCTATCATGTTCCTACTTCCCCCTCAATCCCACGTTCACCTATATTGGGAAGTTGGGATGTAAGTGGAGGAAGTTGAGAAACATGATTTCACTAACTTGACTCCCAAGTCCAACGTGCATCCTGTTTTTAAGCAAACAGAATTTTACCAAGTCAAAATCAGTTTAAAAGAATATTTATTAAAAAGATAAATATTTATTTATTAAAAAGATATTTAAACAATTAATTAATTTAAAATAAATTTATCTTTTAAATTAAAGAATTATTTAGATTTTATTTATTTATAAAATAAATCTTTTCAACTGATTTTATCCCAATATTTTCAAACTGATTTTATCTCTTCCTTAAATTAAGGATTTTGAAAACTGTTAAAAACTTTTCTGAGTCATCCGTCAAGTTCCTTCAGGAACTTCAGGTTCCTTCAGGAACTTCGAGTTTCTTCTTAGTTCCTTCCAACACTTTTGTTTCTTAAGTTCGTACACTGAGTAACTAAGTATATAGAGTCGTGAGGACATGTTGAAAGCTTGCATTCATCATCAAGTCTTCCAAACTTTGTTGTTCCTACTCCGGAACATATTACTTCAAACCTGAATCTTCTGCTTAACCAAGACTTTTTAAACATCATTAGTCGGAGTTTGTTTTACGTAAGTCAATCATCAAAATATAAGGTAGTCAATTCAACAGTTCTCCTCTTAGAAATTTGTATGGTTCTTGTTGTTAGCAACATTTTGCGCTTCGTCTTGAAGCCTCTCAAACAGCCTAGAATCATTTCTAATATTCTTGTAAGTTTCTCTCTCTCTCAAAAAAAAAATGATAGGTTAATTACGTAGTTCATTAATTTTTAAATTCTATTTGCAAATAAATAAATTAATAAAAAACAAGCATGAAATAAGGCTATTACTGTCTATACAGGGCAAGTAGTGTAAAACAAGGATGGCAAAAATTCTAAAAAAAACATTGCAACAAATGGAATAAAGAAGAATATTATGGGCTGCTCTTTGAATACTTTACACGATAAAGATACTAATTAAATTAAATTAATAGAAAAGTATATGCATTAAATGTCGACCCTCTTTGCCAATTAGCTTTTAGCTAGAATTTGTTATATATACACTCGGGTTCAGCGTACACCCAACTAATCCAAGGTTAGTATTTGCTCTTCATTAAATGATTAAATAGAAAATAATCATTAAAATGAGAACAAAATACTCGTAATAATTAGAGTGATTTTTTTCATCAATAACTCAATACTTATAGTGATTATGTGTCTGGTAATAATTATCTTTTGATTTTACATGTGAATGAACATGCATCAAATTTATCTTCAAAATTATGTGGATTTGAAAAAACATTCAAAAGTGTTTTACTTATTATATACTCCCCATTATATAGGATAATACTTGCAATTGACAAAAGCAACATTAGTGAATAGTGATAGCTCATTTTACATAACAATGATACTACTAGACTTTGCTTTATATACTCATATTCTACGGAATATATATGAGGATGGATTTTCTTTAATTATGCATGCAGATCATAAATACAACATCTTTCTCACTGATGATGCTTTTAATAATTATTGTGACAAGCATAACTTGCCCTATAATTAACTACCTTTATGATCCAACAAAGCCATACATGATCGACAAGAAAAGAACCATTTAACACACAGTAGATGTGTCTAAACTTCGATTGATGGCATGCATTTACGACCAAGAAAGCGTGGCTAGCCTATTTAGCCTCTTGGACTTCGTGAATCCAACAACGAGTAACCCATTTACAATTTTCGTAATCCACCTAATCGATCTCATAGGGCGAGCTACCCCTATGTACATCGACCATACGAAGGAGATTGGTGAGTATTGGGATAACAACAATGTCGCCGTCCACAATGCCATCAAGCTATACGAGAAGGATCGTATGCACTGCATTACAATGAACTTATTTACTAGTGTTACCCCTAATCAAACAATGTACCAAGACATTTGTGAGAGTGCCTTGTTAAACAAGGTAAGATTTATTATTTTACCCTTCCACAAGAAATGTATTAAAGACGGGAATGATTTTTCGACTGCCATACTTAGGCCAGGGGTACAATACACTTATGCAAATACGTTAACCCATGCACCGTGCTCCATGGGAATTCTAGCATGTAAATGCTGCTACATGAGAGACATTTCCGTGTCAGTTAAATCGATGCACTCATCGCCAATTTGTTCTATTGTTTTTTGGAGGGCCTGATGCTCGTGAGGCTCTTGCATTAGCAAGCCACATGGTTGAACATCCAGATGTATCATTGATTGTGGTTCGATTCTTGGCAAATGAACAAATAGGAGATATAAAGTTGGAAAGAAAAATGGATGATGGGGTGATAACTTGGTTTTGGGTAAAAAATGAGAGGAATGAAAAAGTTGTTTACAGGGAAGTAGTCGTAAACAATGGTTTTGAAACAGTTACGACTATAAAATCATTGAACTCTAGTGCTTCGATAGATATTTGGATTGTAGGAAGGGGGAATGGAATTAATCCAACTTTATTGGAGGGATTATTAGAATGGAGTGAAAATCCCAACTTAGGATTGATTGGTGATTTTTTTAGTATCAGCTGATTTTAATACTTTAGGCTCTATACTGGTAGTGCAACAACAAGTGTTGAGAAATAAACGAGTTAATTCTTTGGCTTGCCATTAAGTTAGATTTTGTGCGACATTTATTTTAATTTTTTTTTTTTGTAAACATGTTAGATTTAATCAATTTCCTTTAATTTTATTCGTAGTTTATTTATTACCTCTCAGATGAGTTGCCACAGATCATGAATGGGTACATGAAATATTATTCCAAACTTTGTTTTACTAATACATGAGATTAAACTTGGTTTTACAAGATTTAAATCAATTTAATATGTAAATATAGACTATTGTATAATACTCTTTACAAAAAATTTGTCCTTTCCACTTTGACTTTTGTTGTCTCACAAAAAAATTAAAATAATAAAAAAAGATCAAGATGCATGGGCAGAACAAAAAACGTTCAGAGGATGTAAAATTCAGCTTCAATAAGTAAATAATTCTTGTAGATAATTTCATATGATTAAAAATTATTAAGCAAGCATATACTCCTAATGTTTCAAAGTAATTTAGTGCCCTGTTTTAACCGGCATATATGACACTAAGAAACTGACTTCTTTGACCAATAATATCTTTAATTATCAAGAAGTATAAATTACCAAAAACAGTTAATATTTAAAAATTGTCCACACATGACTATGTTTGATATGATCTTATGTATGTACAACCTCTATTCTATTTTAGTAACAACATTTGAATATTTACACTATTCACTTTCTCTCATTTTCACCTTGTTGATTATTATATTGGACAAAAATACAAAATAATGGTACAATAATGCAATAAATTATGGGTATTTTTCTTAGTTTGGATCCTAATTTCGAATACCTATAAGTACCCAAAAAAACAAAAAAAGGTTAATAATAATCAAAATCAATTACTGTGTTCAAAAGAGATAGCTATACAAAGTATGTACAACAAGCTCATGACATGCTACCTATAATTATGTGATTCCTGTGATTAGGACCATGATGATAGTGATGAAATTATTATTCAAGCTACTCTAAAAATTTTCCTAGCATGATAAGATCTAGAATCATCCTGTAATTTGAAAATTAAAATATGATATCTAAAATTAGTAGACTGTGTTTATGACTAGTTATCCTAACTGGAAAAAAAGTTGATAATTTATTATACATATTAATTCCTTTGTTTTTTTTTTCCTAATTTAGGAGGAAATTTTTTTTAAAAAATAACACTATACGAGTGCATGAAGAGCAAAAAAAACGGGGGAGAAATAAATAGAAACATAGCATAAAATTATCATGCAATTTTTAGTTTAATTTCATTTTTTAAGTTTTGCTCGCATGGTCATATAGTATTATTCATGCATGATTGTGATAATATTATGGATTTGGTAATCAATGCATCATTACCTAAGTTGTTGAAATTGTTGCGGTACACACGCAGGTTGTTCTATCATTTGAAAGACGATTGAAACAAAGTAGTGTTTCTTTCCTCCTCTACATAGTTGAATTGTCATCAACAATTTAAGTTGTTATGGACCAAACTGTTCCCATGATAAATGGGTCTGTTATGATGGATTATCATGGCTAAGTTGTTGAGATATTTTGTCAAAGGAATTGTCGAAGTCGTGCCTTCTCGATACTTTTTCAAAGTGCTAATAATAATCATCCTGATTTCTCCTTCGCCGTTCTCCTCTTACAAATGTCTATGGTTCTTATTACTAGCAATATTTTGCGCTTTCTTTAAGCCTCTCAACCTGTCTAGAGTCATCTCTGATGTCCTTGTAAGTCTCTCAATATTTCTTTACAATTAATTGTGATGAACTAAACCCTTTATATATATTTCTTTACAATTAAGTCCCTCCATTCTTACTTTTTGCCCCATTGTGGTAGTATTGGTTTTGACTCTTTTGAGTAAATTACATGCATGAGGAAAACAAATAAGTAATAATTGTTAAACATACTTGGGTAAAATATATTCCCTCCGTCCTTGCGTTTTGTCCCATTGTCCATTGTTGAACATCAATGTGTTTAGTTCTCTCATAATGCACTTGATCCTTAACCAAACATATTGCACTCAAACTGTCACAATATACTATCGCTTGATCATGATATAGACCCTAATCACTAACTAGTCCCTTCAACCAGATTCCCTCCTTGGCCGCTTTCGTCAAGGCCATGTACTCTGCTTCAGTAATAGACAAATTAAAGTCACCGTAGGCTGCAAAGTAGCTTTCCAACTAACAACAGAACCAGCAAGAGTGAACACATAACCAGTCATAGACCTTCTACCATCAACATCCACTACATACAAGAATCGGGTCAATTTCGACGGACCGGTACCGACGGACACGTAATTCCATCGGTAAAACCAAAATTTCTGACGAAATTATATTCCGTCGGATATTTCCGACGAATTCAAACAATCCATTGGAAATTTCCGACGTCGGAATATTTGTAATTTCTGACGTCGGAATATTTATAATTTCTGACGGAATATAAATCCTTTAACCCTAAATCGGAGCACCCTTTCCCCTTTAACTTTCCGCCTCTTTTTCTCTTTCCTCTTCTCTTTCTTCCCTACTCTTTTTTCTGTACTGAGTTCTGCCTCTTTCCACTTCTCTCTCTTTTCTTTCTCTCTCCTCTTGTCTTTCCTCTTTTGTTTTCTTCTCTCTTCTTTCCCTTTTCCTCTTTTTTCCCTCTTTCTATCTCACACCAACAACCACCACAAACATCAACAACATCACTAAAGCTTCCTAGGTTTATTTCCACGCCGACAACGATGATAAACCCATCGACAAGCCCACATGCTTAATGCCGACCCGGTACTACATGGCTTTGATTATTTAAAGGTTTTTAGGCCAAATTTGATGATTGGTGAATGTTTATGAAGATTCTAGATTAATGTGATGGCAAAGTTAAGAGTATGAGTGTAGATATTTTCACACATTTCTTCTACCTCCATTACCCTCCATATATACGTCTTATATAAATACCATTTTTTGGACATCATTTGAGAGCATGCAATCCACTTGCATTTATACAACTTTTTGGACATCATACATTCTTTGAGTGTTCCTTCTACACATATTCTCCCTAACATAGTATTCTTTTATATTACTCTTTTGTGAGTTTATTTCTAATAATGAGTGTTATTTTGTACTACTCTCACCCCTAACATTTTATGGCATTTGTGCCTTCCTATTTTGCTATTTTTCATACCATCAATTATTTTTGAAAGATTGTCGTTCGTGGTTTTTTTGTTTTATTTAGAATTTTTTCCTTGTAAAATAGTGTGTGTCTCTTTAACAATTTGTCTTGTCTTTATTTCTCTTTCGATTAATATTTCTCAATTTCAACATTTTTAATTTATTTCGGCAAAGGCTATTCGCCGTTATAAAACGGTACCGCACCAGACTAGACCGAAGACTGGAATTTTAAAATTCAAGAATCGGTATGAACCGATTTTCTTTTTTTTTTTTTCAGTTTATTATACTAGCTTTTATTATATAATGAAAAAAAAGGAAAAAAAAATTGTGAAAAATGATTATTTAATAGCTATTTTGAACATCTAAACTTCACTCATAATATAAAAATATTTTTAGCATATTAAACGTAACAAATTAACATTTAAAAAGTTTTTTTTCATAATTTTAAACAAAAAAATCAATTCGGTCCAAAATTGGTTTTTAAAGAGTTTTGAACAACTAAAGGCCTGTTATTTTAAATTTCTTGGCCCAGAAACAAGGCTGGTTTCTTCTCTCTGGACCGATTTTTGAAAACCCCTAACTTGAGCTACGCACTCACCAATCCTAACATGTGGGTCTTTTGACCCATCCCACTGTCATCCTACTCAATTCATCCCTCGTAAAGATGGCTCTGGGCTGTTCCGAGTCGTGCCTTGTGTCGGGCCCACGTGCTTTAGCCTTAGGGTTGGTTAGAGCCAGCCCATGGCTCAACCCATGAGTTTCATGCCGTGGCAAGCTGTGCCGAAATTTTCAAAAGGTTGGCCCGTGCACGGCCTAGGGAAACGTACCATCTTGCCGGGCTTACGTGCCTAAGCAAAATTTCATTGATTTTAGCGTGGTTTGTCGTGTCGGACCATGTCGTACCTTATCATACTTCTCAAAAATAAAGGTGGTCTAGGCCGGTCCACAGCCCGGCACGCACAATAACGTGTCATACTGGGCCTTGGGCCGGCCCAGCACAGTGCCATCTTTAATCCTCGTCTACAAGCCCATCCATTGCAAGTTCTCTTCGTAACAGACATGGACCACTTACTCGGTTACTCATTGTTAAATATTAAAACTCCGTAGTAGTAAAAGTTACGAGTAATAAAGTAAGGAGATATACCTTTCTTTTGGGTCCCTTTTGGAAGTAAATCAAAATTATCCGAAGGTGGTAATAACTACAAATTCAACGTTAAAAATAAAATTAAAAATTAAAAAAAAAAAAAAAAAAAAAAAAAAAAAAAAAAAAAAAAACTGGTGAAAATAATTTATTAAAATAAGAGATAAACGACGAAAAGTTTTTATTGAAAGTCCATTTAATTTTACAACATCTATTAACTCGTCTAATCCTCAAGTGACTCAATTTCATTTCCCTCCTCTTCCTTCTAGTCCAACAAACAACAGTGAAGAAAAATGAGTTCAATACTATTTGTTTCACTCTATCTTCTTTCAACAATACATGAAACAACTTCCATACCGCATTATCTAGCCAACAACTGCCCGAATTCTACCTTTGCTACCAACAGCAAATACAAATCCAACCTTAACACCCTCTTTAAATCTCTCTCAACAAAAGCCACCACTAATCCCTTCCCTCCCGGAGGTTTTTATATCACCTCCACCGGCAACGGCACCAGCGATGCCGTCTACGGCCTCTTTCTCTGCCGTGGTGATCAGAACATCACGGGTTGTGGCGATTGTGTCAAAACCGCTACGACGACTGACTTACAAAGGTACTGCCCCAACTCAAGAGTCGCAATAATATGGTACGACGAGTGTATGGTACGATTCTCCAACGAATCCCTTTACGCTAAAATGGCCGATGATCCCTCAGCTTCCTTTATGAACGCGAAACGTTACGAGGGGAACCAAACACAATTCTTTGGGATCATGTGGAATACCATGAACCATTTGGTTGGTGAAACTGCTAATAATCGAACCGCTAAGAAATTCACCACAAAAATGGTGAATATTACTAAATCAGTCACCTTGTATACAATGGAGCAGTGTACACCGGACTTGACGCCTAATGATTGTAGCCGATGCTTGGCGAAAGCCATCGGATTATTGGAAACTATGAGAGGTGCCCGAATTTTGTTGCCTAGTTGTCATGTTCGGTATGAGACATACACGTTTTACATTGGTGCCGTTAATTATTCGTTGCCATTACCGATTTCTTCTAATTCCCCCATTCATGGTGATCGAGGTAAACTACACATTTTAATAACAGAATTTGTTAATCAAAGTAATTTTTCAGTTTTAAATTAGATGACACACTTACATGTTTTTCGCTTTTGGTATTATTTATAAATTTTACTTTAACCAAATTTTATGATTTATAATAGGAAAAAATATAATAACTGTGTGAGATTGTGAGATCTTATTATAATCCGTTTGATGTGTGTTTTTTAAATATCAATTTTTTTATAATTTTTTCATATTGATAATTAGAGATATTTATGGATAACAATTATTGTTTTTTTATTTTTATTTTTATTTTTACTTTTAGAGCCCATGATGAGTAGGGGTTCTTCAGTAGAACATTCTACTGACCTATAAAAATTAAGGATAGATGTGAATGGTTAGGTGATGATATGTTAAGGATAAAGATAATTTTTATTTTTATTTTATTTGTGACATTATGATGAAGTTGATTGACGCTTTAATCTTATATGAAGAGTATATATTGACGTAACACAAACTTTAAAATAAAAAACAGTTTGTTAACCGTTATAAAGTTGTTCATAAATGATGAAAAGTTACCTTTGGAATGAACAAAAGTTAGTCATATATAAATAAAAGTTACCCCAATACAAAAAAAGTTATTTATACTTTATTAATGAAGTTACACTATTTAAATGATTGAAAATTAAATGTCAGTGATTTAATATAATCATATTGTTATTCCAAAAAACCTTAACAGTTATCCAAACAAGGTTAAAAGTTACCTTAAATTAGCTAAAAATTAACCTATTACTGTTCAATATACATAAATATTAGGAAAAATTAACAAGAAAAGTCTCAACTATGGGCGACCTTCTTTAAAAGGTTCCAACTTTTGAATAACTAAGGGCATTCCCAACTATTGTACATATTTTCTTTAAACGGTTCGTGACTTGAACTTACTTGTTAAACCGGTTAAGTAGAACACATGCCATTGTTTCATTGGTTCTATTTCTCTCTTTATTTAAAAAAAAAATCTCCACTGCTCCTCCTCCCTTATCTCTCCTCCCATACCTAGCCAAATCTAACACGCACTGCTACCCCACCACATAACCACCAGTCTAACCTACCCACTACAAAACCGTCAACCACCCACCCTAAAACCACCACCCATCTAACCCAATTACATCACGAAACCACCATTATCTTCCACCCCCAACGCAAATTGACCACCATCTAACCAACACCACAAATAACCACCACAAATCCAAATGTCACCCCACCATGCTCATGATTTTGCAAAAATGATTTACTCTTACAAAATTATTTAAACTGGGTGGTTTTTATGTTGTGGATGGGAAGTACTGGAGAGTATGAAAGGATGGGAGGTAGAAAAAGAATGGTGTTGGTGGATTATTAGTGGTTATGTTGCATGCACTACTAGAAATAGGTTGTTTTCCGGCGGAAGTTTTCCGTCGAAAACATCGAAAATTCCGTCGGAGAACAGCCTTCCGACGGAATTGATGTCTGTCTCAATACCCTTCGTAGGAAATTCGACGTTTTCCGAGGGAAAATTCCGTCTGAAGCCACTATTCCGACGGAATCAATTCTGTCGGAGCTGGTTTTGACTCTAAACGAGTGTCCGTCGCGCAAATTTAACCAACCACGAACCCACATACCCTTCTCTATCATCAATTAAAGCTTTAATCGGTCAAATTTAACCATCAAAACTCTAGATCTAGAGGTTTCATGGTTAATTTTGTCCATAAAACCTTCAAATTAACCTTCAGCGACAATGACGAAACAACAAGAAAAGGAAGAAGAGAAAACGGAGGCGGCGACAAGCGAGGGGACAGCAGCAGCGTGACTTCCGACGAGGTGTTGCGGTCGAATTGAGGGAGATGAACAAAGAGAGAGAAATTTCTGGGTAGATGAAGATAGAGTGGAGATCGGTGGTGGTGGTAGTGGTGGTGATGGTAGTGGTGGTGGTTGGCAATTGAAGGTGATGATGAATTTAATTGGGAGGGGAATGATTTTGGTGGAAATGGTTAAGTTAATCGATGTAGGGTTTAAGTTAATAAGATAAAATCAGTAGTTTAATTAGGGTGTTAAAAATAAGAGTAAGGGGAATTTTGTAAAATCACACAAAAAAACTTATTATAAAGGGAAAAAAAAAGTTTGTTGCGAGTAACATGTAATGACCATTTTTAGTAATTGTTGCGAGTAATATGTAACGGAGGGAGTATTTTTTGACGTAACTGATTTTCACTAGTTAAAAATAATTATTAATGAACTAGAATTATTTTTAATGAAGCGAATTTCTTTTTGCTGAATATTATTATGTTAAGGTAAAGAAAATAGTGCATTATTGGCATTTTTCTTTTTCTTTTTATTTTTATGTTAATATTTTTTGTGGAAAGTTGTATGGTAATTTTGAAAGTGATGAGATATTATGTTTGATTAGGCTAAATATACTGAGTAATTGTATAAACTATACTTTTCTTTTAAAAAAAAAAAGATTACAATAATATGTTAAAATTATTTATTTAAAATGTGTACTTTAATAAGCCGGAATAACAAAAATTAGTAAGTCATTGTAATCCATATATCTTTGTTGATAAACTTACATCTTAAGAGATAGTAAGTCATTGTTCTCTTTGCCCAATTATATTTACTAAATTTAAATTATTTCTACTGTCGGTAATATATTTATTCTTTGAAATAACTGATTTACCTTGATTGTAATTTTTCTTTTTACTAAACTTAATCTATTTTTGTTGAACACAAAGTAATTATATTATATGGAAAATTTTTACTACCTCATTTTCTTTTGATTTGCAACAAAAGAATAATTTATGTCTCATAAATAATACCTCTTTGTTGCATATATACACTCCCTCCATTTTATAACAATCGCAACAATTTGAATTTTACACCACTCTTAAGCTCAATTTGACTATACTTTTTACTAATTTATCAAAAAAAAAAAAAAAAAAAAAAAAAACATGTTTTGCAAAATATTTTTGGATTAGTTGATATATATATTTTCATTATATTAACCTTTTATATTTCTTAATAATACTTCCTCCGTTCTAGTAAATATTGCAACAATTGAAATTTTACACTATTCATCACGCTTGGTTGACCACATATTATGATTTATACATTAATTCAAATATACTCATGTGGGGTCGTTAGATTCGTTTCGTAAAATACTTTCACAATATCACCTTTTCATGATTTTTACGCTTATATAATTATAGATATTTAGCATATAAAATGTGTTTTGGGATGCGTAATTTTATGCTTATTGCAATATTTGTGAAACAGAGGAAGTATACTATTTCAAATATTAATGGTCAAAAGTATGCGCATGCACTGACATATGTACTAGTTAAAGTATTGCGATATTATGAAACAAATGGAAGAATAAGAAATGGAGATAGTAATTGAATATAAAGATTAAGAGAACACGGTCTAAATATTTTTGATAAATGATTAAATTCAACTTTAATGTGAGATGTGAATTGTGGCCTGGATTTGTTATAAAACAAGAGAGTATGAATGTATGATATCATTATTCATGAGATTATGACATATAACATGACATCCACTTGGTTGACACCAAGTCAAGAAAGTTGACAAGTCATCCAATAATTTTGTATTTTCACGGTATGGTACTATGGTTAGAAGAAGTGAATGTCTGGGGACCGCGTTAAACTCAAGACTCAAGAGCATGGACGTCTGGTTCAGTCAATTCATACTCATAACCTTAATTTCTCGGAGTTGGTTTCAAGAAAACTTTTGAAAATGGATAATTGTATACTCCCACCATTTTTTATTAAGTGATTTATAGTGACATAACACGTATATCGATGTAAAATTTTATTCAACAATATCTTTAATTATTAATAAGAATAAATTATAATAATTGAATATTAATAATCTACTATTGATACGATTCTAACAACTACCCGCCATTATTGTCAAAATTGCGATCCGGATCGTAGATTGTGCGATCCTACGATCCCATTTTAGCCAAACGATTCAGATCGGATGCAGAATTGCAGAGCAAGTAGGATCCTTGTAGGATCGGTAAGGATCGGGTAGGATTGTGTAGGATCGTACGAAATCGGGTGGGATTAAACGATCCTGTTTTTCACTTAAATTATTATTGGATTGTACAGGATTGGTCAGGATTGGACAAAATCGTGTAGGATCGGTCAGAATCGGGTAGGATCGGTCAGGATCGTACGATCCTACTTTTTACTTATTAAAATGAGCCTAAAGCAATCAAACTTCTCTCCAAGCTAGAAAATAACTATCTAACTACTAAAACTTTAAAATTTAGCATTTTTATGGCTTAAAAAATGTTATTTATTTATGTAGCGACCTTTTTATCACTCCTTTTATCAATTTCGTAGGATCTTACAATTCTACGATCCGATTTTACCGATTTGATCCTACTCCTCTCACATATCCAAAGTAGGATTCCGATCCCGACAACCTTGGTACTCACAAGATTATATTTTTTCTTATGTATGAATCACAAATATTGATCAAAGTCACTCAAATAAATAGTGCCAAATTTGCTAATAAGGCACTAAAAAAAATAGAGGGAGTATTTTTTTATTAAGTTACTTTATACAAATTAAAATTTTATGAAAAATAATGATATATATAGCTCTAATGACTTCATATAAACATTAATAAACTTATAAAATAGAATAAAGTTGAAACTTTATAACATCACGAGCAAACAGTTTAATTAACATAACATTTATCATTTAATTCTTTTTATTATTTATAAGGATTTTTTTCTTTCCTTTTCTTTCTTTGTAATACTCTTTTAGTCTCCTAATAAAAGTTTATTTATTCCATGATAAACTACACATTTCATAATAATCGTAACACTTTTCTTTTACGTTAGTTTAATAAAAATCAGAACACTTTCTTATTCAATATTAATTAGTAATAACCTACTGCTATTTTATTATTTTCCTATTCTAATAACCCTACTTTCACATATATTAAAGGTTTCTATCTACAACTAACCCATTCACAATACTCCTTACTTTTTATTTATGCTTCTCTCGCTCTCCTACTGACAATCAAATACTTCCTTCGTTTTTTTAGCTGCATCACTTTCCTGAAAAGAAAGTTTTAAATTAGTTGCATTACTTTACTTTTCAACAAATGAATTCTCTCTATCTCTCTCCTACCACATGAACCCCATTTATTTTTTCTCTCTACCTCTCTCTACTTCAAAAGTTGCCTAGGAGTCCGTGAAAACAAAAGTAATGCAATTAAAAAAAATGGAGGAAATACCTTTCACCACCTTTACTTTATATTATAAAATTCTCTCTGATCCATTGGTCCCCTCTCTATAATTTTTCTAAATGTGTATGCAGTGTGCATTGTGTTGTAATTATTACGAAACAAATGGAGTATAAATAAAAGTCGCATATCTTCATTATCTTTTAGTGATTTTTTTCAAAAACTACCTAATAAAGCACAAATTTTGTGAGAAACTACCTAATAAAAAAAATGTTGTAAGAAACTACCTAATAAAAGGTTAAATCATACCTCTGCAGGAAATCCACCATTAACCCACCTCATAACACCCCCAAAACCACCGCTTTTACCCCAAAACCAACACAACCTACTTGAAATTACCTCCACCATGCCAAAACCACCCTCCTACCCCAAAACTACCACTTCTGATCCCAAAAAACCAACATCCCGAATCACAAAACTACCCTCACCAACTCGGAATATGCTCTGACCACCACGAAAATAATCTTGCCACCTTGAAAACCAACCCCTATGGTGGTTTCGGGGATGTTTTGAGGTGAGTCAACGCCATAAAATTAGGTTAACGGTGGAAATTCGGCCAAAGGTAGTATTTTACAACATTTTACCTTTTATTAGGTAATTTCTTACAATATTTTTTTTATTAGGTAGTTTCTCACCAAAATTAGGTTTTATTAGGTGGTTTCTGGCAAAAAAAAACCCTATATCTTATTAATCTTCAATCAATTAAGCGATGATACTTTATTCGTTTCAAACTTCAAAGTAAATGCATCACTTTGCATGATTGATATACATGTGCTAATGCATAAATTTGACGATTAATAGATTTAAAATTATAATACTATAAATTATAAAATATAAAATACTAATATTATAGAAATATATGTTGTGACTTGTTTAGAGTTTGACTCAATTGCATCAGCTACAAAAGCAATGGCTTAGGGCTTCATTTTTTTGGGGCCTCACATCTTTAAAAAAAAAAAACGAATCTTTCACCAAATACCCTTGAGTTTTAACTAAATTTATCAAACCCACGACATCTTTCAAATTCCCCATATAACCAAGTTTCAAAAAAATGTCACCACATATCATTTTCGTCAACTCAGTTAGTGATTAGCGTTAATTGTGCCACTTGGTAGGTTGTAATTAATTCTTATTAATATTATTTGTTTAACTATTTAATTAATCAACTTAAAAAAATTATTTTAAAAAATTATAAAAAAAAAGCACCACCTACCTAGCCACCACCGCCCCCAGCCCAGCCTGACCCCTACCCCCGATTGGCCAGCACCGTACCCATCCCCCATCCCTTGCCTGCGACAACCCCAACCCAAGCCCTCTCCCTGCAGCACCTCACCTCGAATTCCTTCTCCCTCCCCGCCTTGAACCCAAAAAAGCCTCCTGCCTTTCTACCTTAGCCGAAAACCACTCCACCACCCCAAAACCCCTTCGCTGGTAGCCCAGACCCCCTCCCACACGTCGTCGCCGCCCAACTTAACCGAAAATAAACCACCACCGTAAAACCCTAAAACACCAAAATCGAAATCCTAGATTTTTGTTTTAGGGTTTCGGCATACGTGGTGGTTCAATGGGGTGGAGATGGCACCGGGGAGGGCCGAATTGGGTTCGCCGGCATGCGAGAGGGGGATTGGGCACTGGCTGGTGGGTAGGGGGAGGGAATTTCGAGGGAGAGTAGGGGTATTTAGGGTACGGGAGGGTGGTTCAAGGGGAAGGGAGCCGGCTAAGGTCGTGGTCGAGGGTGGCGCCGGCAGGGGGGTTCAGGTTAGGGTGTGGCCGAGTCGCGCAACGAGTGAGGAGGGAGGGTCGGGGTGGCCGGTCGCCAGAGTGGAGGAAGGGGCTGGGTGGTGGAGTTTTTTTTAAAAAAATTTATTCATAAATATTTTAAATGTTTTTTTAATTAATTAATTAAATAATTTAAATGACTGCCAATCATAGGCTGTCACGGTGCATAATTTACCTTATCACTAACGGCACTAGTCATTTATGGCATGTGGTGACATTTTAGTAAAACTTATGGTTATATGGTAAATTTGAAAAATGTCGTGGTTATTTGGTGTATTAAGTTAAAATTCAGTGTTATTTGGTGAAAACCCGTATTAAAAAAAAAAAAGAAAGAAAAAAGAAAAAAAAAAAGAAAAAAGAAAAAAAAACCCTAGTTATTTATAAAAAAAAACTTAAAAGTCTTTTCTAAGAATTAGATAGCATTCTTTACTGCTCTTGTTTTTAATTTTTATCTTAATTCTTGTAAGTTTATAATAATTATCCCACTCTAAGATATTTACTTTCCATTAAGTAAATTTTTTTCCTTTTGACATTCATAAATGTTTTTCCCATTTATCAATTTATAGCTTGTGCGGATTTAATTGATGAATTTGCTTCACAATCGAGAGGACAAGATTTTCAAGTGACTACCATAAAATTTGTTATGTTAGTGAATTTATAAACGTACAAGAGTTTGTGGGTTCTATAAATTAAGTTATTATTTTTCTATTATAAGGGGCCACTTTTTTAGTTCCTGCTTTGAGCCCCATTAATGTCTGAGACAACACTAGACCTATTCAATTACATTTTACAAACTCCCTCCGTGTAGCTTTTAAGTGTTGTATTTCTTTTTTTTTGGGCTAAAAGCTACATTTGAATATTTTATCCCTCTCTTCTCATAGTCCTCATTTATATTCATTATCACTTTTTTTTTTTTTAATATTATTTCTTTTTTTCACATTTATTACTTTTCAATAAAGTATTAACGTCATTGTCTTTCTTCTACAATTTTTTAGTACTCCTACTATCCCTAATTACCTCTTATTTTATTTAAGTCAATTAATAAATTGCCTAAAATTAAGTGTCGGTCAAGGTGTAACACTTAGAAACACACAGATGGAGTAATAATAATTACATTTATATAGGGGTGATTCTGAGCAAGTGTAAAGTAGACAATCGCACAAAGCCCATAAGTGAAAGGGGCCCTTAAATTGATATGTTGTTGTATGAAATATATATAATGCAGGGAGGAAGAAAGTATCAGCTGCAGCAATTATAGCCATTGTTTTTTCTGTGGTTGCTATATCGGCAGTAATACTTGCTCTAGAAATCTGTTTTGTAAATAAGAGATTTAAAAAGTATGGTGCAGTACCTATTCAAAATGGTAAGAGGACTATATCAGTTACTAATAATAAGAGTTACTTACTTAGTTCTATCTCTATTTTCCTGGTTATGATCCGTCGCTATGGTTGTAGGGGAGGATTTGACAACCCTTGAGTCGTTGCAATATGATCTAGCAACACTTCAATTGGCAACTAATAACTTTTCCGAGGAGAGTAAAATAGCTGAAGGTGGATTTGGTGGTGTATATAAGGTAAGTACTGTCGAAATTAAAGAGAAACTAAAGAGATGGAATAGAGAGCATAAAACACACACATGATTAATAAGTTTGTCATGATTGCTACACGAAAATGTTCATATTGCGATTATATTGTAAATGCCTCGTTTTTAAGGAATGTGAGAGAAAACGTAATGGAGTAAGAGATAGATGTTCTGTTGACTAAAATTGAGTTAAAAAATAAAATAAAAAAAAATAAAAAAAAAAGTTAGTGGAAACTGGATAGCACACAGATTTTCACTGAAACAAAAATTGAGGCGTTTATTATTAGAGACAAAACTTTAGGAGAAATGAAATGAATCTTTTGCAGTCTGTGTTTATGAACGGAAAAGTGTAATAACATAATGTACAAGTACATTGTTTTTGTAAACGTTGCTGGTGTGTCAATAATTTTACAGGGTACATTATCAAATGGACAAGAAATAGCAGTTAAAAGATTGTCTAAAACTTCCGGCCAAGGTGTAGCAGAATTCAAGAACGAGGTCTTGTTCATCGCTAAGCTTCAGCACAGAAATTTAGTAAAACTATTGGGATTTTGCTTGGAGGGAGAAGAGAAGCTCCTAGTGTATGAATATGTGCTGAATAAGAGCCTTGACCATTACATCTTCGGTATGACAGATTTTCTAGCATAAGTCTCCGATCTTTTTCATTACTATATTTATATACCTAATAAGTAAAGATTATAAAATTTTAATATATTGAAATTATGCATTGAGAATAATTATCCTAGAACATATATAACAAATAACATTTTCTTTTTTGTATGTACAATACAATTGGTCAAAGATTACGAATGAATAAATATAAAAGTCAAGGCGTTGATTCAGATCAATCAACCAGCAAATCTGTCCCTATATCTATGAACAATGATGACTCTGTCACTGAAGTTGATCCTAGATAGACACGAGTGATTAGAGATGAGGAACATACTTGAGCATCGATCTTTATTCTACGCTTACCATCAAGGTGAGGTGATACTACTTTTCATCTCATAAATATTGATGTTTATACTGTTAATTATATACTTCGTAGATGTTTGAATTGTCCTGTTATTGTATACAAGCATAGCTTACAATGTAATATACCCCCTCTATTTCATAATAATCGCAACACTAGACATTGTGGAGACACTGTCACTATCCTATTAGTACTCTTATATATGTTGGAGCAGTTGGACCATCTTAATAATTGCCGGCCATAAACTTGACTAAGGATAAGATCAATGCGCATATTGTGCTTCGTATATGTTATTAACTTATTAAGCTTTCATCCAATAATACACCAGGACCACCACGTCGTACATGATTATTCGTATTAATAAAATCTTCCTTTATAAAATGTTCCTATAAATTTGAGCTTCTAAAGCAACGTTACTATGCCAAGCCAACATGAAACCGATAAACTCTTCTCTTATTTCTATCATCATCATCATCATAATATTTTCATCGAACAATCTCGAAACAATTGCTAGCTGAAGAAATAAGCTTTTACTAGAATGAAGATGCTACGGAAATTCAAGATATGATAATACTTCCACGACTAACAACTTCGAAACAAATGTTGATTCACTTACCTCCGTGCTTGCATCTAAGTCATCTTCATCGCCGAGCTTTTTCTACAACACCTCTACTATTGGTGAAATTTCTCCAAGGGCTTATGGTTCTTACTTTTTCCGTGGTAATCGAAAAGCACGAGTTTGTCATGTGTGTCCGATCTGGATTTCTATCACGAGCAGACATCACCAACACAGATTGATATGGTATCGGAGTCTACTATCAAGACCCCCAATGCGTAGTACACAACGCCAACAGCTCAACTTTCGATGTGTACGAAAATGGGAGGGAACTTAATACTGATTCAATTGGGGAGAAGGTTGCTGACTACCAGAGCTACAATGAGACATTATCGAGTACAATGCAAGGACTCATTAGAGAATTCCCCATTGCGAAACTGGACTGAGCCTAATTTCCAAACCAGGGTAATAGACGTAATAGGATCTAGCCTAATTTCGAGACCAGGGTAATAGACGTAATAGGATCTACTGATGAAAATATTTATGCACGCATGATTGTTTAAAGGACAATTCAACCAAAAAATTAAGCTGATGGTTGAAGCACAAGATCCTTTGCGTAATGCTGGCTCTTGATATCATGTTAAAGAACCAACTCAATTAAATATCTAAGCTGGTGATTGAAGCCCAGGATATGTTTATATACTATATTACTAATATATCCGGCATGAATTGTAGTAAATGTTTAGGGAATTATGCTCGAGACTTCATCATTGCTGCAATGGTACTCAAGGTGGATACATTGCGTATGGTAATAGTTGGATGAAGTACAATAATCAATCTTTCTTTGGCAGCACCTACCATAGTTTTTTGCCCAATTTGTGGCATGTTACATACATTGGTCTTGATAGTGACTGTGTACATTGTATTTATGGAATGTTAGCTCTTCAAGATTCGAACAAAAATAAATAAATAAATAAATAATTGGTCTATGTATCTTCGTTACTTTTCTAGGACAACTTGTTTCTTTTGAATGGTACTTAAAAATTAGTACTTCCCACTGTCTATATTTATTAATTGGATTGACATTAATCAATACTCTTGATTAGCACAACTAAGCAAGCAGGATATCCACAAAGACGTATGTAAACCACATACTTCATATTTCTTGATTTTCGCATTTAGTAAATCCCGTTATTTACGTACGATAATATAGAGAGGTGATCATGGATTAGGTGGGACTGAGATCTTGGCAAAAGAAAGCCAAGCCAATATCAAAATTGGGCCTGTGTTAAAACTGGGCTGGAAAAAGCATCTTGGTCCTTAAATAATACTTTTTAAAAAATGCTTACCAATTAAAAAGTTCTCAAATTTTGAGCTTGGAATAGAAAACTGATCCAACAATTCTATCCAAAACCGAAAAGTAAAAGTCAACGTTTCCCAGTCATGTACACGTTTTCGAAACTCATTTTTTTATTGTTTAAAAACCTCTGTTCGGCTGTACTTAGCTGGGGCTGACACAACAAGGCCAAGCAATAAACCATTTACAAAGTAAATCTTTATATTTACCGATGTTATCTTTTTTAATTTTTTTTGCCATGCATAAATGCATTAATCATGTCCCTTCTTGATAATAAAATACTGTAAAAATGACACTGTTTCAAAAAAAAAAAAAGCTACTCCTATTTTCAGTTTTTTTTTCCTCTAATGTAAGATGTTGACTTTTATATTGTCATATACCAACTTTAACTTGATGTTTTAATAATATACTTGTATTAATAAATATGTTGATGAACTAGTCACGATATTTATACTTTCATAATATCTGCTTTAAATTACAGATATTAATGTTCAAAATTATGTATTTTTAAATGTGTCAAACAAACTGCTTGTACTCATAGCTAGTTATATTTTAGCAAATGTGTCGATAATAAAAATAGTTAGAGGCTCAAAACTTATCTGCCTTTATAAGTCACAATATTGCATATGACAGAAGAAAAAAAAAAGTTAAATTTAAAGAAAACCTTACATATATGCAAAATGCAATGCATATTATAGGATATTAATAATTAGAGAAATTTAAAGAATATTAATATTGAAAAATAAAATTTGCAAGTTTGACTAAACAACTAGGAGATGCAGTTTTTCACAATATGACATACATTTATTATTTTTTTAAAAATTTTGATAGACTTTTAACTATGTTTTAATTTATAATACTTTTTTTTAGTAGTACTTTTAAAATACCGAGTACTTACTTAACACTACTATTAAAATACTTTCTATGGAGTACTATTCTTATATGAAATTGAAATACTAAACAAAAATACAAATACAAAAAAAATTATTATAATACATTAAGCAGCAGTGCATCGCACGGGTTTAAAACTAGTCTGCTAAACAAAAATGTGCTCAGTTCTACAAATTAAAAAAAAAAATATTAATAAAAAAAAGTGGAGTAAAAAAAATATAGGACTTGTTTTATCACTTCCCAGATTCGTTCCTTCTTTTTATTTTCCAACTTTCCATTTTAAGGAAGACCCAAAAAATCTTGAACATGTTACGTAATCATTGACTAAATTAGCATTAAATAGCACACTAATTAATTACAATTTACGATCCGATCTAATAAATACAAGAGTACTATAAAATAAACATAACTTAGATTGTAGGAAACTAGCAACTTGTGATTTAAAAGATTTGTACACCGTATATCACATGCAAAAATCATCCTATGTCCTTTACTATGAACCTTCCATTCGATCTCTACAAAATCCTCTGTTTTTTTCTAGTTGACTTTCCTCCTTAAACAACCAAAACCCAATTTCAAATTGAACAACCATGGCATGTTCAATAAACTCTCTTCTCTTCCTTATTATTATAATTACATGCTCATGTATCAATCTAACCCTTGGTGTCGAGGAAGTCGATTTCGATGGTGTTGGTAGAGTTTGCTATGGAAACTCCACAACGACGAAAGATTCTACAAGTCAAGAATATCAAGACAATGTTAAATTACTTCTTCAGTTCTTGTTTCGGAGTCTACTTCGTTGCATCCACCAATGACTTTTATTAGTACGTCGGTAGGCAGGGTTGCGGAGAGGGCTTACGGTTCCTACCTTTGTCGAGGGGATCTAAGTGTTAGACAATGTCACAATTGTTTAGTAAACTTGACAAATTTTATGTCGGATTTAAAGACTGACAATTCGGATTGTATTGGATTTGGCCGTTTTCTTTGGTGCATGGTACATTACTCAAATAGCTCAAAATTTTCGGGGTATCAAGAGGGGCTTGTGTTTAGCTATAATTCGATTGGGAAAAATGTGTCCAACTATGAGCAATACAATGAGACGTTGTCTAACACGATGCAAGGACTCGTTACAGAAGCTAGCTATGGTAATTGGACTAAGGCTAATTTCTCGACTAGGGCTGTTGAGGTAACGGGGTCTCATGAGAAAATCTTTGCACTAGTTCAATGCGCGGCTGATTTATCTCCGGTAAATTGCAGTAAATGCTTAGGAGAATTGTATTCTTATATTCCAGATTGTTGCAATGGTTCTCAAGGTGGAGTTCTTGTTCATGCTAATTGTTTGATGAAGTACAATAATCAGCCTTTCTTTGGCTTGGCTAGTCATAGTTTTATGCCAAGTTATATTCATGTGATATTTCTCTTGTTATTTACTATGCACCTCACAATTATGTGAACTTGCATATTTTTGTTCTCAAATTCATTATTCATAGTAGAATATACTTGTATGATTGCATTCTTTGTCTATGCTATTGATGAATCCTCCGTTTCTCTAATATTATAACACTTTTCATAGCATGTAAGATGAGAGAAAACGCAAAGTGGGTTGTCAACCCATGTGATTCAGTGATACTCCATAATATGAAAAGTAAGAAATACAAGTACTGCGTAAAACGGTAGATGCATGTTTTAAGGAAAATAGAGAGGAATAGGAGAAAAAAATAATATGGTCAAGCATTAATATAGTAACTAATGGGAAAAGCTGTGTTGTAAACTTGTAATTGTAGTTAAAAGAGGGAATTATATTGATGGAAGAAATTGAGATTTGTGAATTGTGAAACATGTAAATTAAGCCTGATTAGAATAAGATAGTTGGATGTTGATGAGCATTTGAGGGTATGATTATAAGTTTTTCCAATATTTAAGATTTGAAAATTTTTCAAAGCACAAATATGTTACAAGACTCACAACACACGTTTATTTGCGCCAAAAAGTCTCACAGAAGGGCTTTTTATTAACAAAACAGGGCGGTGATGTTGTTGGGCCTTGGGTCCAGTTGCTTCAAAGGAAGCCCAAGAAGTATGATACAATTATATATCTCAAAGTTTAATCTTTCAATAGAGTTGACTGAGTAAGGTCTAAGCAAATTAGAATACCGAAAAAGTCGACTTAACCTTTTCATATATCTGTTTTTTTAATAAGAATAACAGCAATGTTTTTATGGTTACATATTTATGTTGTGTGGTAATCGGGGATGTGAAAAATGATAATTTGATGTTCAGATCTTGTTTTTAAGTTTCTCATGTTAGACGGATATGTAATACTGTTTCTCATCCGATAGCTTGATTGAAGACGGGAAGTAGTTTAGAACGTGTATGTATTGGTTCTTTCCCTCAAGGTATTCTACTCTTGGTGGAAATTGACTTATTGTAATAAAATATCCATTCTACCTTTTCTTAAAAAAAAAGAAGGTGATCAGACTCTCCTTAAATGTAAGCATATGTTTAAATCATGAAAATCTAGACAACCAAAAGAGTAATCCTTAGTTAATTGACAACTTGGGTCAACAAAATACAACTCAAGACTTAGCATCTTGGTTTGACTATCTTTTCTCTAAAAAAAAGAAAGAAATCAGAGGCGACTACTAATGGAGTAATGGTCCATGTAATATATCACTCACAACTCATAACACGCATTCTATAATAGTTTACCACGGCACTACCTTTGAAATGTTTATTTCATCATCCCACGATTTATCTATTATCCAAAATTAAATACTTCCATTATTCCCTATATATAGACTCACCCATAATAAAAATATTGATACATGATCAAGCATAGAACTATGGCACTAACAAACTACCTTCTTTTCCTTGCAATTTTTTGCCAAATTAGTATTCTTTCCCTTAGTGCAAAAGAGACTTCCGGGTCCGACGATGTTTACCAAGTTGGCATAGGCGGCCGTGATTCCGAGCTTGTTAACCCAAACTATCTCAACAATGTAGATTCCCTCCTCTCCAACCTTATATCGGAGTCTTCACTCGGCTTCTTCAATACCTCTACGGGTGATGTTGGTTCCAATAGGGCTTATGGTTTTTACCTTTGCCGAGGTGATCTTAGTGCTAAAAAATGCAACAATTGCTTAAAGGACGTAAGAAAATATGTCTTAGATCGACGTCCACTTGAATCTTACTCCAACGGCATTGCATTTAACACGGATCTCCAATGTGTTGTACACTATGCAAACAACTCTAGATCATTCGTGTATAGAGAAAATACTACTTTCACTGGTGATGGATTTGGAGACGACTTGGCACATAACCAGCAATACAACACGACGTTGATGAGTACATTGCAAGAACTCGCAAGAGAAGCCGAGTATGGGAATTGGACAAAGGCTAATTTCGCGACAAAGGTGATAGATGTAACGGGATCTCAGGAGAAAATTTATGTACTTGTTCAATGTACACCTGATATATCCGCTATGAACTGCAGCAATTGCATAAGTAGTTTATATTCTTCATTTCGGCCAGTTGCTATAGGTGGACGAGTTTTGGGTTATAATTGTTTGATGAAATTCAATAACGAGTCTTTCTTTAGCAATGGGTACCGCAATTTCATGGCAAGTTATATCCTTATGATATTGGTTTTATTATCGACTACATACATTACTTAATGTAAACTACAATATGTATATGTAATTTTAGTTTCTAGGTTGTTTGATTCATATACGCAACGGTTTCCATTGTCTTTTTTAAAACAGCAACTTTTGTGTGTGGCACATGGTGTGGCCAGCTGACACACACCGAGTAACTCCTAACCGACGAGTATCCTAACCAATTAAGTAACCCCTGATTGACCAAGTAACCCCTGACCGAATGAGTAACCCCCTGATCGAGTAACCCCTGACCGACCGAATAACCCCTAACCGGCCAAGTAGCCCCTAACCGAGTAACCTCTGACTGACTTAGTAACCCCTAATTGAGTGAGTAACCCCGATAACACTAGTAAAGTAACCCCAACAATGATTGGCCACACGGCAACACGATGTGGCCTGCCACGTATAAAAAAAATATTCACATACATATAACCAAGATATGGACAAAGTGAGGAAGGACGTGTATCATATATATATATATATATAGCATTAGTTATTATTTTTGAAGGAATTGTATTAGTTATTATTATTAATTTAGTATTATTATTATTACTATTTCTATTATATTAATTATTTTTATTATTATTAAAAATTACTATTATTAGTATTAATTATTATTAATAATTAATATTACTAAATATTATTATTATATTAATTACTACTTATGTTAACTAATAATTAGTACTACTATTATTATACTTAATTCCTCCCTTTTATTATACTGGCAAATGTTTGTCTGTCACAAAAACCATGTAATTTCAACCAAAAAAATGAGACAAATTGAACCAATTTATTACAAAACTGTAAAAACCTATAATAAAATTATAAGCTATGCTAGTACAAATTCTGTTTCCATCTCTATAAATAGTGTCATCTACATTTGATGGAGACTAAGGAGGATAAAACTTGTTTCTACAATGCAAGGAGGGAAGAAAAGGTTTCAGTGTGTTTCCTAGTCTCCCTTCCTTCGTTTCCTATGTCTACCACCACCGCTATCATTCTTCTTCCTTTTATTACGGCTATCATCATCTGAGCTTGATGAACTTGCATCGGAACTAGAATCAGATTCAGCGGAGGATGACTCTGAGGCTGATGAATTTGAACTTGAATAAGTATCAGAAGTAGAAGCAGATTCAGGTTCAGGTTTGGCTTCAGACTCTGGAATCTGTTGTTGCATTATCAATCGTGGCATGTTCTTCAGGTACTCTCTCAAGTTCTCAGTTATTCCTCCAAGACCAATGGATGTGAAGAAGTTGATCGCAAATCGTGTGTTTCTGGGATTATCTTTTGGGAAAATCGAATCAAAGGAGTCTTGCATTGCTGGATCATTAAGCCGTTCATTCAGCAACCGGATACCAAGGTGCTCAGACAATTCCTGCATTAATGATTTTTAACAAAAATAATAATCAGACAATGAGGCAGAACTGCAGAAGTGTATCCAAAATAAAACAAACTATATAAAATTCTTCAATAATGTAATACAACAGTCTTATCGTTTTCAAAAAAAAAAAATAGTACAATAGTCTTATTGTTAGATACCTGGAAAAGGATTTTAATGAAGATACGAGATGAAGAAGTTGTGTCCTCTTCAGTCAAACGTATGTAAGCTAACACATGCCAAGGAAGAGCATCAGTGCCCAGCAAATGAGCAAAGAATTTGGCCACATTCCGTAATTTGTTTGTCTCAAGGCGATGTATCATCGAGTATTGCTGAACAAAGCACTTGTCAAAATTTTCCTGATACACTTTGTTAAGCATACAAAACCGTTGGCCCAAAAGACCATAATATCTGAGATATGTCCTCTCTTGGCTGCAGCACTCCAGCAACATAATATTTAACTCCATCTGTAGCAACAATTTGAGATCAGCACAAAGACAGATGCAATGAGCCAGATACAGAAAAGGCCAGTGCAACACGCAGGCCAAAATTCAGCATGGAGGCAAGAATATGAAAATTTTAATGATCAGCTTCAGAGCAACGGAAGACAACAAAGGGGAGATCATATAAAACTCAAAGTGCAGAACAAATCATAATGCAGCATTAACATTTCAAGCGGCAGGAAGTATATATCAGAGCCTGGGTAGGATAATATATCAAAGGTCTACATAATATTTGTGAAAGGGTGCAAAGAATGATTCAAGTAAATTTACACAAAACATGTGGAACACTGAAGGGTGCAAAGAATGTTTCAAGTAAATTTACACAAAACATGTGGAACACTGAAGGCTGCAAGGAAAAGAATATTCCAAAGGGACCAAACTATCAGACAGACAAATTTTCAGATCAAGTCCCATGAATTCATTGCAGCACAAAAATCTGGTGAGGAAATTCACAGAGAAGAATTGCTAACCTCTTGCCCAGGCTCAAGTTTGATTTTTAGCAACTTGTGGCCAGCTTCTTCAAAATCTACACTGGACATAATTGTTAAGTAGATTGTTCTTCGAAGATTTATGAGGTTGGTTTCTGTTTCATCTTTAATCTGCATTTGCTGCTCTTCTTCGTCTTCATCCTCTTCTTCATCGTCCTCATCATCATCAGACCCAGCATCAGAGCCATCCTCGCCCTCCTCTGACTCATCTCCCAGTATGGATTTCTTCAGCTCCTCGTACTTTTTCTCATTTTCCACAAAATTAGGATCTTGCTTGAAAATATCTGAAATTGCATATAAACAAGATAGTAGTGCTAAGAACCACTAACAAAAATGATACATTGCCACTCAATCTAATCCAAGTTAATAAATGCAAAAATTATAAATAAATAAATATAGCGGGAATAGTTCAAATACCAAGACCAGTCTCAGGATCTATCTCATCTTCTAGTGACATCTCATGAGTGAGCTGATCTTCTGGATCCACAAGATCCAGTTCAGGCCTAACAGCTGGATGCCCCTGCAGAACCAAATAACCTTGGAAGATTCAATACTTCAGCATTTTTGAGAATTCAAATAAATAAACAAGCCATCATAAGTTAAATATAACACCAAACCTGGAATTTGGCCTTTCTTATGGCAAACAGGCCTTCAATCAGAAATTGAACCCTTTTGTCAATCTCTCCTTCATGAAGAATTCCTCGAAAACGTTCAAAAATACCTGAGAGTTTATGCAGATAAATAAGATGGCACAGTGTGAAGACCAGAGAAAATTTGGAAAAGCAGACAGGGTAACTAAAAAGTCAACCTCTCGGAAGATGCAGAATTACAAATTTTGTTCAAATTTAACAATGATTTTAATTTAGCACTTTGAACAAACCATTTAAGCGTTCATCTGAATTCAATATACCAACAGACAATATAGATGAATCACACTAACTAATCATCATGAGAAATGCTTCACTGTCCGAAGTATCAAAAATGGGTTCTCAGGTACCAACTTCCACTCATTCTTTTAGGTACTTGACTTTAAACTGTTTTGGCTAAGTCTGTTACACAATTAATTATTAATATTTTAATTTAACTTCAAAAAAAAAAAAAAAACGATAATACAGATATCACTGCAATGTTCTCACATTTGATACCAAGCTTAGAAAAATGTACTGAGCTTTGAAATATTTAACGTTCTCTTTGTCAAAAATGTAATACAAACACACCATTAATTTTGAAGTTTGGCACTTAAAGATGCAAAATGGAAGGACACAGAAAAAATGAATCACGTTGAAAACAATGAAAACATTAAACAGCAGAGATAGTGCCACAAGTAAACTAACCATGCAGACCCTTGGGACAAAGGTCTTGAAGAATAGAGCCACATTCTTTGACAAAATCAACTGCAACCTCAACACTATCATCACTAGGCTGCTCCAACAGAATGGTGAGCAATTCCAAAGCAACAAGCTCATGAGCAACTTGCTGGTTAACTAGATGAGCTATGAATTTTACAGCAGCCATCAGTTGAGGCTGTAAACGAATTCAGCATATTAGAACTCTATAAATGATGAAAAGATTTTTTTTTTTTTAAAGTATTGGAAAAGCAGTAATAATCATACAAACCTTATCATTACGCTTGTAAGCTCTCTTTAGCTGCAAAATAATCCTCCTCAAAAGAAGATCCCCAATTTCAGGGAACTTGGTATTGACCACAGCAACCAGAGCAGCAAATACATCAGTAAAACCTGGTGATGCCATTTGGGACTTCATGCATGATCGACAAAACAGACCCCTTCCCCTGATGAGATTCTCGCCAAGCAGTTCTGGGATAATGTTCTTGATATTAATGGCATTCACTTTGTTTACCAAACCATTGATACTCTTCCTAAGAGCATCCCATGTCAAACGCTGATATTCCACACTGCTTTTGTCCTCAATTTCCTTCATCATTCGAGCCAACTTAAATGGTGGAATGTAAACTCCTCCAGTCCTCCCAAGGGTACTAAGATCACCACCCGGATTCATATTTGCTGTGGTAGACTGTGTTTGCGGTTTTGCAGGCTCTTCTCCTATAACATCCCTGCCTTGTTGCTTCAACTCAGAAGCTTTATCATTCGTTTCTCTCCTAGATCTGATTTCCCCTTCCTCGAGATCATGTGTTTGTTTACTAGTCCTACCCTCTCTCCGATCACTCCTTCGCATGCTATGCCTTTTTCTACGCCCATCAGAATCAGAGGAATCATCCGTGTCATATCGGTGCCTTCTCCTCCCTCTTTCTCGTCTGCGTCTCTCCCTATCCCGTCGCCGGTCCTCACTAGAACTTTCTGAGTCACTTCTCCTCTCTCTTTTCTGTTTGCGTCTCTCCCTATCCCGTCGCCGGTTCTCACCAGAACTTTCTGAGTCATTCCCTCGACGGCCAGTATAACTGTTTCTTTCATTCATTCTTCTACCATGCCTTCCTTCAATAACCGTTTCCTTGCCATCTTCTTTGTCATCCAACCTCTTGTTATGTTGCTCCTTTTCTCGTCTCCCACTACTCTTCCAATCCCTCCCTTCATCAGAACTCCCTGAATCGCTAGCTTGACGCCCATTCCTCTCCCTATTACCACTTCTATTCCCATCACCAGCTTCTTCATTATCCAACCTTTTCCTAGGCTTCTCTTGTGCTTGTGTCTCACCTCTCTTTCTATCCCTCTCATCACCAGAACTTTCTGAATGATTCTCTCGAAGCCCATTCTTGTCACTAATATCTCTTCTCTTTTTATTCCCCCCATCATCATCAGATCTCTTCCTAGGTAGCTCCTTCTCTTGCCTCTCACTTCTCTTCCTATCCCTCTCTTTATCAGAACCCTCTGAATCACTCCCTCCACGCCCACCATTCCTTTCTCCTCCATCCCTTCTCTTCCTATTCCCATCTTTATCCTCCTCCACCCTTCTCCTAGGTCGCTCCTGCTCCCGCTCTTGCCACTCACTTCTCTTCCTATCCCTCTCTATATCAGAACCCTCTGAATCACTCCCTCCACGCCCATTCCTTTCTCTTCCACCCCTTCTCTTCCTATTTCCATTGCCATCCTCCTCCACCCTTCTATTCGGTCGCTCTTGCCTCTCACTTCTTTTCCTATCCCTCTCTATATCAGAACTCTCTGAATCACTCCCTCCACGTCCATTATCTCTTCTCTTCCTATTCCTACGATCTCCATCCTCCTCCACCCTTCTCCTCCTATCCCTCTCTTTATCAGAATACTCTGAATCGCTCCCTCCACGTTCATTCCTTTCTCCTTCATCTCGTCTCTTCGTATTTCCATCTCTTTCCTCCTCCATAAAAACTATTCTCGATTACGAATATCAATAGAAAAATTCTAGTCTAGCAACAAAATTGCTCGATATAATCTTTCATAACTTGAGTAATTATAATGAATAGTTCAACAATCCACCTCAGAAAAACCCTAAATCGACTATAATGAAAAATAAACCAACACTAAACCCTAGATTGTGAAATTGATATTCAAAATCACTCGTAATAATCTAGAGTAATTACAACGAATAGTTCAATACCCTAAATCGACAATGAAATCAACGATAGTGTGAAACTAAACCCTAGGTTGATATTCAAAACAAAATGTTACCTCAGAATCTGTTTTAATGGGGAGAAAAAGCTCAGAAGCTGCTTCAATGGAGAAATCAGAGCACGCTTCAATAGAGGATGGAGATTAATGAGACGTTGCGTAAACCCAGTGAGGCGTCGGATCTACGGAAACGGGATGAAGAGAGGGAAACGGCCGATTTGGTTTAGTGTGTGTTTAGGGTAACTGGGTAAATTCACGGAGGGAAATGGACGATTAGGATGTTTTTTTTATTTTCTACCCTTACTCATGGAATTGCCAGAAATATCCCTTCACTCCGGCTCGGCCTTTTTTAATACTTATCGTTTTTATAAAATGCATCACTTTTGGAGCCAACCCTATTTCTACATATAGAAGTTACTAGTTTAGTCGCGTTGCACAATTTAAATAGCTATTATTTGTTTAAAATGATTGTCAATATTCTTTATATATTAGAAAAAAGTGTAATCATAATCTCATTAATTAATTTTAAAAGAAGTATTGTATTTTTTTAGTCTTGAAACATAGAAGGAAATAAATAGATAAAAAAAATAATGTCAAAAATAGTTTAGGAGGGAAAAAATTTCATGAGAAGTTGACATGTGTTCCTTAATGATGTCAGCATATTTTGTTTTAGTAATAGTTAAATAGATAAGGAAAATTTGCCAACTACAACCATTTAAAGTTTGTGTTTTGCAAATTGCAACCATTTAAAAAAAAATTGTAAACTGCAGCCCAAAAGTAGTAATAAATTGTAAACTGCAACCCAATTCAATCTTTTCATCGATTTGCGTGCCGAAAAATGTTTCGTTAAGGTTTTAGGGGCCATTTTAGTTTCTAAGGAGCCAAATTGAGTTCGGAATTGACAAAAAAATTAACATAAGGGCCTCGTTGTCACGACTAAACACAAATTGATACATTTTTAATACGCAAAACGAGGCACTTACGTTCTTTTTTTTTGCGTGCCAATTCCGAGGTCAATTTGGAATTTTAAGGACTAAAATAACTCGTAAACCCTTAACATAACATTTTTTGGCACACAAATCGATGGAATAGCAAACAAGTTCATACATATAAGTTATATATAACACTAGTATAATCTTAAGGCAAAAAATAAGTTTGGATAAGTTTTGATAAGTTAAAGGCTTTAGTTACTTTAGATCTAAATAATTCTAGTAGGAGCTACTAAAAAAAATATATTAATTCTAGTAGGATATTTTTGGAGCTAATAAGTTTTGATATGATTGATAAGAACATGGCTAATAAGGTTCAAATACCTCCGTTTTTTTTTAGTTAACACGTAATGAAAAATATAATCATGTGAGATCTTGTTATATTCGTCACGATATATATTTTCAAATATCAACTTTTTATAATTTTTGCTTATCAGTAATTAAAGATATTTTATATAATTGAAGTTGTGCATTGGCAAACGTAACTAAAAAAACGCGTCAACTAAAAAGAAACGGAGGTAATCAATAACAATGAATTAATGTGATGTCATAGTATAAAAAAATTTGTTGCCCTAAGGTCGAAGTCATCCTGCACAATAATACACATATGAACCCAAAATTATAGAATACATGTGTTTTTATTTGTTAAAATATGCCTTGAATGTGCTACCCCTCTTTGAATAACATGGTGGGTTTTCAATTTTTGAATCTATATTTTTCAGTCAATATAATCTTTTTGTTTTTGAAGTACTATATAAACTCCTAGCTCGCTAGGTTTTAACTTATCTATATTTTGTACTATACTCGAGATCAACAAAACTCTCCTCTCACTTGTTTGTGGATTGTAGTATAAAATTGTCGTGAGTGAACGGTGAACCACGTAAAATTAGTGTTCTTGTTTGTTAATTTTTTTTTTTTCATCTATCATGATTCATAACAGTATAATTTGTAAAGAAGATAAATTTTATTATGTGTTGCTTGAGAAGAAAGCTTAGATTTATAAAGAAAATAAATAAACAGAAGGTAATGAAAATAGTTCTCAATTAGGTGTCAGCCAAATAATACGAGGCACAATAGGTGTACAGTGTACTCAATAAAACCTTAGATGTGATAATGTGGGACTAAATCATACCGTCTCCGTCTTTATAGTTGACATCATTTTATTATTATGTTTGTCAATGCACAATTTTAACGATTAATATCTCTAATTATAAACAATGTAAACTCATAAAAAGTGGATATTAATAAAATATACATTTTTGGACAATTTAAATAAGATCTCATATAACTATATTTTATTATAGTTATAGATCACAAAAGTTAGTTAAAGCATAGTTTGTAAATAGTGCAAAAGTCAAATGGTATCAACTAAAAATTAAAAACGGAAGAAGTATTATGTAATGCGTAAACTTAATTAAATATGCCTGTGCCTGAGGAGGGGGCAACCAATAAAAAGTAAGAAATAGAAGTAAACATAGTTCATTCAGAGCTCTCTACTTGTTACGTGCTCACAGTTTCCTCGATCCTATGCCATATATAGTTAGTTTCTGTGTTACATATGAGGCAATTCCCCATGTATGTGTCAATGTGTGCTTATATTGATGTCAAAGTCTTGTTACTCCATACAAATTAGGGTCATTTGAGTATTGTATTCCTCGTCTATAGATTTTTTATGTGCTTGTTGTACGTAAGTCGGTCAATCCAGGTGCCGCATGAACAATTTGTACTAGTCGTCCTCTACGCACTATGTGTCTACGTCCCAAGGATTATTGTCTAGGATGAGATAAATGAATAGATAATTTAAATAGATTTTTCACCAGATACCTTGAGGTTTAACAATATTCGCAAAATATCACTATGTTTTTTAAAATTCATTAGGTTCCCTTGAGATTTGGATATAATGTACCAGATACTCTTAATAATTCACATTTATTAATTCCACTAACTTAAATAATCTAAAATTAGTGACCTTATAGCTTAATTCACCTATTAACCCATAATTTATCAAAAATGTCCTCTAACATCAATAGGAGATGCCTTGAATCAATGGTTATAATAGATTCAATAAAGTGTCTTTTTAACAATTTTGTTTGCTTTTATAAGGCTTCTTATGACTTAGTATATAATGTTAGAGGAATTACATTATTATAGGTCAACTGATTTTGAGTCATTTTAGTTAACATATGCAATATCGGTTATTTATAGGGGTGTTTGGTATATTACACAAAAATTTCAAGGGTACTTGTGTCACGGTCCGAGAGTTTTGACACTGGATCGTGCGGCGCGCACTTATCTCTTGACGACAAGGACGCAAGCCTAGAGCGAAGGGGGTTCGTGGCACACAGCAGCACGGACCAAAGGTATCTCTACGAAGCACTCGTCAACAACGAGTGCTGAGTCGGGGCTTGTGACGGCCGATATTTCGAAGCGGGCACAAGCGGGACCGACGATAAGGAAGGCGTCTTTTGAGGTTCTCTTGGTTTGGTGGGGAGGCTTTAAAACAAGGCAAGCACAATATCTATAAAGGCTTAACTCAACACACAAGTCTTAAAGCAAAGGCAACCCGGATAGGAGCTTTCATTCATTCAACCATTCGCCCCACAAAGAGCTTTATATTGATTACATGGAGAAATACTAGTGAACGCTGAAACTACAGTAACACAATAATTTTCCCTAGAGCCTAGAAAACAAAAAGAAAGACTTAGAAGACACTACATAAGGAAAATACAAGGAAAAAGGAAGGGGGATACATAGAGAAAGAGGCGGATTCTAACATCCTCCCCCACTTAAGCTGTCGACGACCTCGTCGACTTACAAAAACAAAACATATATGTAAAGAAAAGGAAATAACAGCTTCACTCCTCTGTTGCTGGTGTGGCTCTCGCCCTGGTTCTGATGTTGGCGCGGTTGCTGGTGTTGCGGTTGCTGTCTTCTAGATCTGGATGATAGGGTTTGAGACGACTAACGTGGAAGACAGGGTGTATCTTCATCCACGTAGGCGGCTCAACCTTGTACGCACTCTTCCCAATCCGTTTAGTGATGCGGATGGGGCCTTCATATTTTCTGATCAGCCTGCGATCTCTTCCTCTAAGGAACTTGAGCTGTTCTAGGAGGACCTTCACCATCACCATATCCCCCACATCAAACTCCACCGGTCTTCTATTCTGATCGGCCCACTTCTTCATTCTCTTCGATGCCCGCTCCAAGTATGCGCGAGCAACTTCCATGTTTTGCTGCCATTCTCGCTTAAACTCTCGTGCTTCGCGGCTCCTCCCATCTTCGGATGTTGCTATGGTGTGGGGCAGGAGAGGTTGTTGGCCCATCACCAGTTCAAACGGACTTCTGTTGGATGCGGTACTCTTTTGGGAATTGAAGCAAAGTTGGGCGACATCAAGGAGCTTCACCCAATCCTTCTGGTTGGCGCTAACGAAGTGTCTCAAGTATTCCTCTAAGAGACTGTTGAATCTCTCTGTTTGGCCATCAGATTGAGGGTGGTGACTTGAAGACATGTTTAAGTCTGACCCCAGCAGCTGGAACAACTCTGTCCAGAATATGCTCGTGAATCTTGTATCTCGGTCGCTGACTATGCTCTAGGGCAACCCCCAATACTTCACCACATGTTTAAAGAACAATGATGTCGTCTCCTCCGCACCACAAGCCTTCTGCATGGGGACAAAGGTGGCATATTTGGAGAATCGGTCAATCACCACCATCACTGCAGAGTACTGGTCCACTTTGGGGAGACCACTGATGAAGTCCATTGATATGCTTTCCCACGGACGTGTCGGCACGAGAAGAGGATCTAGGAGGCCTCCAGGTTTCTGACGGTCTACCTTGTCTTGTTGACAAACCAAGCAGGTCCGGGTGTAACTCATGACATCTTCTTTCATTCCCGGCCAATAATACCCCAAGGATAGTAAGCTTAAAGTCCTCTGCCACCCGGGGTGTCCGGCCCATAGGGTATCATGACATTCCTTCAAGAGCATCTTCCGCAGGCCTCCCGCCTTTGGTATGAATAGCTTGTTACCCTTTGTGAAAATGAGCCCGTCTTCTATCTAGAAGCGTCTTGTCTTTCCTTCTTCTATCAGCCCTTTAATAGTGTTCGTCATGGGGTCTTCTGAGAGGTGGTGTTTGACTTGTTCTTTGACTGAGGTGGTGACATTGCTCGCTGACATGGGAGACAGTCTTTGTAGGGGGGCCAGATCGGCACGACGGCTCAAGGCATCGGCTACTTTGTTACTGGCTCCAGTCTTGTACGTGAACTCCACATCAAAATCCGCTAGGACCTCCTGCCAACGAGCTTGCTTCCCCGTTAACTTTGGTTGGGTGAGGAAGTAGCTGGCCGCAGTGTTGTCGGTGCGAACAATAAACTTTGCTCCCAACAAGTAGTGTCTCCACCCCTTCAAACAGTGAACAATGGCTAACAGCTCTTTTTCTTGGGCGGCATACCTTCTCTCGGCTCCACTCAACTTCCGGCTCTCATAAGCAACTGGGTGGCCCTCTTGCAGTAAGACACCGCCCAATGCATAGTCGGATGCATCCGTCTCAACTTCAAACGGCTTGTTAATGTTAGGGAGGGCTAAAACTGGTTCCTTCATTACTGCTTCTTTGAGCTTGAGGAAAGCCCCTTGTTGTTTTTCCAACCAATTCCATTTGTTGTCTTTCTTCAACAAGTCCGTGAGGGGACTTGCTATCTCTGAATATCCCTGAATGAAGCGGCGATAGTAGTTAGCCAACCCCAAAAACGACCTTAATTCTGAGACGTTCTTCGGAGCTTGCCAATCACTAATAGCTTGGATTTTCTTAGGATCCATCCTTATGCGGCCTCCTCCTACAAAATGGCCAAGGAAGCTTACTTCTTCCTTCGCAAAAGCACATTTTTCCCGCTTCACGAACAGGTGATGTTGTCTTAACTTCTCAAACACCTTCCTTAGGTGTTCTAAGTGATCTTCTAGGGTGTTGCTGAAGATTACGATGTCAGTAAACAACCACAAACTTATCAAGGTAGTCGTGGAAGACTTGATTCATCAAGGTACAGAATGTTGCGGGCGCATTTGTTAGCCCAAACGGCATGACCAACCACTCAAACGCGCCGTATCTGGTGACGCAAGCTGTCTTTGGTTCATCCCCCTGAGCAATTCGGACTTGATGGTAGCCGGACCTTAGATCAAGCTTCGTGAAGTACACAGCATCTCCTAGCTGATCGAACAAGTCTGCTACCAACGGTATCGGATAGTGATTCCTCACTGTCAGCTTGTTTAAGGCTCTATAGTCGATACACAGTCTCAAACTCCCATCTTGCTTCTTCTGGAAAAGGACCGGTGCTCCATAGGGAGCTCTGGAAGGCCGGATGAACCCAGCTTCTAACAACCCGTCCAACTGTTTACGTAACTCTGCAAGTTCCGGAGGGGCCATCCGGTAGGGGCTTCGCGCAGGTGGTCTAGCACCTGCCATCAATTCAATGCTGTGATCTATGGCCCTTCGAGGAGGAAGAGGTTTTGGGAGCTCCTTAGGAAGTATGTCTGCATATTCCTCGAGCAACTCTCCTATGACTTCCGGGATATCGCCTTTGACCTCCTCGTCCTTCATCGAGAGGGTGGCGAGGAACGTGGGCTCGTTCCTCCTCATCCCCTTCTTGAGTTGCATCGCCGAGAGAAGAGGGCCTTTCAATTCTTTTCCCTTTTCAGCTTGGGCGTATGTCCGTAGGAGGCATGGTTGGTGGCTTGTCACAAGTAAGGACCCTAGGTGGGGCATCGGGACAGCCTTGCTGGTGTGTAGGAAATCCATCCCAAGGACCAGCTCAAAATCATCCATTGTTGCCACTGTGAAGTCCAGGCTCCCATTCCATTCCCCAATCCTGGTGCTTACATTCTTTGCCACGCCGCAAGTCGGTTGTGCTTCAGAGTTCACAGCCTTCATGCGACCACCACTATACACGGCTCTCAGCCTTAACCTATTTGCCTCGCGCTTCGTGATGAAATTATGAGTTGCCCCTGTATCAACCATCGCCCGAGCCTTCTTCCCGTTTATCCAGACATCTATGTACATCAGGCTGGTAACCCGACCCTTATCTTCCGATGTTTCTTTTCCCATAGCGTACATGCAATACACTGCCCCCAACTTAGAGGGTTCTTCTTCGCTTCCCACGTCCTCCTCTTTGTTATCTCCTTTATGAGGGTCAGAGGACATGGAGGAGAGTTTCTTTTGGAGGTTGTCTATTTCTGACTTATGCTGGCACTCAAACCATTTGTGCGGCCCTCGACAAAGTATACAGGTGAGGGGTTTGTTCCATGATGATGATGTCCCCGAGGACCCACCTCTGTTCGTAGACGCGGTGAAGACATTCTTTCGCGAGTCTTCTCCCCCATTCCTGAACCTATTCCCCACACTGTTCGAGCTAACCTGAGAATTACCACTGGTGCTCCTTGGGGTGCTTGATGTTGACCCACTATTTCCCTTTTTCTGGATGGGTGCTTTGTCTGACGAGTAATTCATCAACCTTTCAGCTGCAGCTATAACACCTGATAAGGTATCAATTTTCTGGTGCCATATCTCCCTTTGAGCCCAATCTTTCAGACCCCGCACAAAGTTGAATAGGCGGTCCTTCTCTGACATGTCATGAATCTCTAACATGCACGCCGAATATTCCTTCACATACTCCCGAATAGTGGTCTTATGTTGCAGTGTTGCAAGCTTGGTGCGAGCGACAAACTCAGTATTCTCGGGGTAAAATTGAGCCATCGGCTCTTTCTTTAGATCCTCCCAAGTGTCTACCGACGTTCTCTTAGCTTGAATATCGGCGTACTTGGTACGCCACCAAAGCTTAGCATCGTCCACTAAGTACATCGTGGCAGTATCAATCTTCAGTTTATCCTCCAACCGACATATACGGAAGTATTGCTCCATGTCGAAGATGAAGTTTTCAACCTCCTTCGAGTCTCTCGTGCCATTAAAGGTTCGAGGTTTAGGAGGTTTTATTTTAGTACCTCCACTATCCCCGAGCCCTCTTTGGGCACGCATCAAGGTGGCACATTTGTCTTGTGCCTCATCAGCTAAGCCTTGCACAAAGTTAAGCTGCTCCGTCAACCCATCCACCGTCGACGCGAGCCTCTCCAGTTGCTCGGCTTGCTTTATTACAATATCTTCGAGCTTGGGCATCCTTTCTTCCAGCATAGCCCACTGTTCCGACTTGCCTTCAAGCCAAGCAAGTCTTTCTTCCAACGTATATCCTGGCATCTCTTCGTTCGACATATCTCGAGCAACCTGGCTCTGATACCAACTGTCACGGTCCGAGAGTTTTGACACTGGATCGTGCGGCGCGCACTTATCTCTTGACGACAAGGACGCAAGCCTAGAGCGAAGGGGGTTCGTGGCACACAGCAGCACGGACCAAAGGTATCTCTACGAAGCACTCGTCAACAACGAGTGCTGAGTCGGGGCTTGTGACGGCCGATATTTCGAAGCGGGCACAAGCGGGACCGACGATAAGTAAGGCGTCTTTTGAGGTTCTCTTGGTTTGGTGGGGAGGCTTTAAAACAAGGCAAGCACAATATCTATAAAGGCTTAAATCAACACACAAGTCTTAAAGCAAAGGCAACCCGGATAGGAGCTTTCATTCATTCAACCATTCGCCCCACAAAGAGCTTTATATTGATTACATGGAGAAATACTAGTGAACGCTGAAACTACAGTAACACAATAATTTTCCCTAGAGCCTAGAAAACAAAAAGAAAGACTTAGAAGACACTACATAAGGAAAATACAAGGAAAAAGGAAGGGGGATACATAGAGAAAGAGGCGGATTCTAACAACTTGCCTACCTAGTGAATTTTTAAAATCAAAGGGGTATCTTGTGAATTTTGTTAGAACTCAAGGGTATCTCGTGAAAAATCCGTATTTTACATTCTAATACAGAGATGAGTTTTTAGTTTTCTAATTTCAGTAACTTTATAATTTAATATCTAGTAGATAATTAATCAGTGGTTCGTGGAGATGGATGTACCTTGCTCATGGTACATCCATTCCAAAAAAAAAAGGCGGAAATAACATAGTATAGAATTGTAAAGAACATATAGCCAATATGAAAAGAACATATTGTTAAAGAACATGTTATAGAACCGAAATGAACATATAACTAAAATGTAACAAACGTGATAATTTGTGAGCGTCTATTTTAAATAAGTAAATTTTAAAATATTGTCATGAAATCAATTGACCAAAAAAACTTCAATCAATAAATACATCATCAAATATCTCAAATAATCCAATAATCCCAATCAAACAATCATAAATCATCATCAAACATCAAAAACATTCATCACCCACTACCCTAGATTGAAAACGAACCTAGCCTAGCATAGTAAAATAGAAGAAGAAACTAGCTAAAAATGCAACTAAACTTAGCATTAAGGACAAATGAACAATAACTAAGCAAAGGTTAACAACTAATTAACAAGTTCAAACAAAGATTAAACTAATAAAAGTAACTAAATAAAAACAATAAATAAAACAATAAATAAAGGAGACTGAGTAAGAAATGCTCAATTATCACTTTGTCATCAAATAATCATCCAAATCTTCCATATTTCTATGATTTTTCTCACTTTCTCTCTCTAAAGATAAAAATTCTAAGCTAAACCTAAATTAAGAGAGAGAAAATAAAAGTGAGAGACCTAAAACTAATGTAATCTAGGGTAAAATGTAAGTTAAGAGTAATAAACCCCAAAAGGGCTATTTATATACAAGCTAATAAAATAGGGAAATAAGACTAAAAAAAACCTTAATATAATAAAGAAAACTAAAAAGACAAAATAAAATAAAAGAAAATTAAGGAAATAAATGAAGAAAGAAAGAAAAAGGAAAAATATAAAAACAAAACTAAATCCCCCAAAATAAACCAACAGACCGCTTTGAAACTCAGCTCCCGCTCTAAAGGGTCTGCAATTTGGGGCTGATTTGTGGGCTTTTTGGCGCGGTTGCTCTGCTTTGGAGGTTGCTGCCGAATTCGATTGGTGGTGTGGGCGTTGCGGATGATGGTGGAGCGGCACCGCCGAACTAGGTGGCTGGGTCAGTTGGTGGCTGAGTGAGGGAGCCGCGAGGGTTGTGTGGGAGCTGCTGTTGTTGTTGTCGGTTCGGCTTAGAGCAATGATGGCAGGGGGTGGTTTAATTGTGGAAAATGGTGCGGTGGAGCAGGGGCTAATTTGGGCGGCAGTTGGTGATTGATTTCGGTGAGGAGGGGCTGCTTTGGGTGGCTTGGGCAGCGGCGTTGGTGGGAGAGGAACAAGGGAGTGTTTTGGTGCGTTAGCAGGAAGCAGGGGAGAGAGTTGGTTGAGTTGGTGTAGTGTAGGTTTAGGTGATTGTGGGGTGTAGGTAAAGAGGGCAGCAGATTTGTGAAGCAGGGGAAGGTAAGGGGAAGAATTTGTGGGTTTGACTTGACTCGAAACTCGGATTTGACTCCAAATTTGAAACGCGAGCTTTGACCCAAACACTCCTACAAAAACAATAAAACACGAGGGATAATCGGAACTAAATAAAAATAAAATAAAACAAAAGAAAAGAATAAAATCAAGTGAAATAAAATGATTAAATCAAACTTAAACCTAAAATAAAATGAATAGATAGAGAAAAGTGAGAAAATTATGATTAACTAAAACTAACTGAAAACTAATAAAATTTGAAACATAACCTATGAAAATATATTTAAAAACTATTTAAAATCAAGCAAATGCTCATAAAAAGAGACAAATAACGAAATAATGAAAATAAAAGGAATAAGGGTTAAAAAGAGCTAAATTATTGGGAAATAAGCTGGAAAACTACTCTAAAGACACCCCTAAAACTGACATAAAAGTCACTTATCAATACTACAGTTTTTCATCAACCTATCTTGTTTTCGGATCATGCGGCTGTTATTTAATTCGACTCAGAAAGCCGGGATCAGACCATGCGACCTTATAGAATTGAAAATTGGTGTTTGTCGGCAAAGGAAGTTTAATCCATTATAGTATCGGTTTTATCTTTGTTTTTTGCTGGTTCACCAATGTTTTCGTTGTCATGAAAGCTTTCGATTCTTAAGGCTCGTTTACTAGCTTGGTGTACTTCTTATAAGAAGGTTTGGGGGATTAATTGGAAAACCTTGGCTTCGGATATTAATCAAGAAGAATTCAATATGGATCGTTAGGTTAATCGTTGTCTTTTCATTACAACGAAGGAGGAAAAGTTAGCGGATGTTCATGCGGCCTATTGGTGCCAACGTGCTAAAATCAGATGGGATGCCATGGGGGAAGTCCATTCTAAGTTGCTTTTCTCCTTGGTTCAGTTTTGGAGTAGGCGTAATGTCATCCACTGTTTGAAGGATTCGAATGGGTTGTTGATTTTTGACCCGGTAGGGGTTCGGTCTCTTGTATTTTCATTCCACAAGGATTTATATAACCGAGCTCATACGTCTATTATTCCAGAATCTTCCTAGTGGGACCAGTTGCAGTTGCCCTCTCTTTCTTCAGAACAAACTCAACAGCTAATGCTTCCCTTTTCGGACATCGAGATTTAAGACGCTATGTTTGCCATCGACGACAATAAGGGCCTTGGTCCGGATTCTTTTCCTTCTGCTTTTTTCAAGACTCATTGGAAGGATGTAGGCCCATTTGTCGTTTCTACGATTCAGTACTTTTTTGCTCATGGTTATATGCTTAAGGGCTGGAATCGTACCTTTCATGTCCTGCTTCCTAAGGTTTATTGTCTTGAATTGGTTTCTCAGTTTTGGCCGATTGGCCTGTGCAATGTTCTTTACAAGTGCATTGCTAAATGTCTAACGGGTCGCCTTCGGCTGGTTTTACTTTCCTTGGTGTCAGATTATCAAATGCTTTTGTTCCTCGGCGACTGTTATTAGATAGTGGTTTGATTGGTCAGAAGAATTTTTTATTTATAAATGCTTGTAAGGCTCGTAAACGATTCTATGCAGCTCTTAAACTAGATATGAATAAGGCATATGACCGTGTTAGTTGGGACTTTCTGTTGCGTACCCTTCAGGCTTTTGGTTTTCCCTCGTATTTGCTTCATATTATTCACCAGTGCATTTCTACAATCTCATATCAGGTCTTGGTAAACGGTAATCCTTCACCCGCTTTTCAGCCTTGTTGCGGTCTTCGTCAAGGGGACCCTCTCTCTTCATATCTTTTTGTACTTTGTATGGAGGTTTTTTCTGCATTGTTACATCGAGTGGAGGAGCAATCTGTGATCCAGGGCATTCGAATTTCACGAGGGGGCCCTTCTATTTCACATTTGTTTTTTGTTGATGACTCATTGTTGTTCTTTCAGGTGTCTCCTGCTGCTTGTGACCATCTTCTAGCTGTTATTCAAAATTTATGTGAGGTGTCTGGACAAATGATTAATCTTCAAAAATCTTTTATGAAGTTTAGCCTGAATACTTCGCCTAACTACCGTGATTATATGGCTCAGTGCTTGAGTCTTCAACACAAGTCGTCCCTTAGTTCTTACTTGGGTTTACTTGTAAACCCGGGAAAGAAAGTATCATAATTTTGGTATATGGTTTCTAATCGTCTTTCATAGTTTTCCTCTCTCAGGTTATCGGCGGCAGTTAAATTGGTCATTATCAATTCAGTATTGGTTTCATTTTTTAATCACGTCTTGTCGATTTTTCATATCCTAGCCTCGATATGTCATCACATTGATAGCATGCTTGCCCGTTTCTGGTGGCGCTCCTTATCCTCTTCCAGGGGGTTGGCCTTTCGTTCCGTCTCTTTGTTTCATCTTCCTAAGGGTTTGGGTGGTTTAGGTCTTCAAAGCATGGAGCATTTTAATCAGGCCTTGCTCGTCCGGCAATGTTGGCGGATTCATCACCATACTCAGCTTTTATTCTCTAAAGTATTGTGTGTGAAATATCCTTCTCTTCATTCCTTTGGCTTGGCTAGGATTCCGCGACCTTCTTGGGGTTGTCGCGGTTTGCTGGAAGGACAGTCTACCTTGGTAAAGGGTCTAGCTTGGAAGGTGGGTTCAAATTCAAAGGTTCGCATTCTCGAGGATGATTGGGCCCTGGGATGTTCGGTGGAATAAATCTTCTGTGTCTAAGTTGGAGGTTCCAAGTCACGTTTCTTCTATCATTATTTCGCAATCTGGCGCGTGGGACTCTTCTAAGATCCATCGGCTTTTCGACAATGCTACAACGCAACATATTCTTTCGGCGGAGCGGCCTCAGCATCCGATGGATGATTTTGTTTACTGGAAGTTTACAT